TGTATACTACACCCGCCTGAAGGCTGGAGAGGTCGGGGCTGGAGTATGCTTGAAAACTGGGAAGTTGCCGGGGCAGTGTGGCTCAACAACTCTGTAATGCGCGCAAACTGTGTTGCGAGGCGTACAGTGGAAGGGATCACTTGGAAGGCCCAAGAGTTCGCAGACCAGCTGAGGCAGCACCAGGAGAGACACCAGTCTCTAAAAAAAGTAAAAATTAGCGTGCATGGTGGCACACCTAGTAGACCCAGCTACCGTGGGGGGCTGAGTGGTGGAAGGATTTTGTGGGGCCCGGGGGAGTTAGGCGTGCACATGGAGTGGGCGTGACTGGCACCATGCACGTCCGAGCGCGCTGGACAACAGGAGTAAGACCGCTGTGCTGTCTAAAAAAAGAATAATTGAATACTGGAAGATCACGTAGGACGTTGGTTGAAGGGATGTATAGATAAGCAAATGATGATCAAAGAAAGAGACGGCAGACAGACAGGAAAAGAGGCAGGCTGCGCAGGAAGAGACAGAGATGAGAACGCACGTGCCCCAAAGACAGATGGAAGGCAGCTGGTGTGCCAGGCTCTGTCTCCAGTTCCTCATGAGACCCTGCTGTACCTTGTTACCCTGGGTTCAACATGGTTACATTGATTGGTGGAGAGTTCCCCTCCTCACTAAGAGCGCTTCTGTTTCTTCCAGGTTGAATAGGAACAATGGCAACGATCGAAAAACAAGATAGAAAAGAGTATCAGGAGTAGGGTTGCAAAACCAGTTTCTTAGAAAAATGTAATCCCCGCACTTTGGGCGAGGCGGAGCGTGGATCACAGGTCAGGAGATCGAGACATCCTGGCTAACACGGTGAAACCCCATCTGCTACTAAAAATAGAAAAAATTAGCCGGGTGTTGTGCGGGTGCCTGTAGTCCCGGCTACACAGGAGCGGAGGCTGAGGCAGGAGAATGGCGTGAACCCGGGAGGCAGAGCTTGCAGTGAGCCGAGATCGTGTCACTGCACTCCAGCCTGGGCGACACAGCGAGACTCGTCTCAAAAAAAAAAAAAAAAAGAAAAAAGAAAAAGAAGAAAAAATGTGGCTGCTGAGGCAAAAAAAAAAAGGCTTCTCCCACCCCACACTGAGAAGCTGACAAGTCCTTTTAGGGGGTGGGTAGCAACTCACAAGCCATATTTACATGTCAGGACCCCAAAAATGTGCACAATGAGATTCAGGCTCTTGGGAACTTACCTCAGTGTATAATACAGGCATTTTATTTATTGCTTGGGCCATAAGTGAAGTATAAGAGGAAAGAGATTAATCTGGGCTGGCTGCCTGAAAGCACTTAAGAAAAGGCAAAGCAACCATGGAATCCTAAAATAGAAAACCCTGACTGCTGTGGCTGGAGCTCTGAGCCCACTGGGGGGCCTGCAAAGAGCTGAGACTTGCTGAACTGCCAGAGGCAAATTCTCTGCTGGGCTGGGCTTCCAGATCTAAATTTAGGATGCTTGTTGGCAGATGGTGGGACAATCTGGGAGGGGTAGCGCACCCTGAATCCTCAGTCCTGGACAGCACTTTCTGCTGTGATCTCCCTAGTGACCAAATGCAAAGATGCCCAACACCATACACTGCATTTCCTGAGTTCATGGAAAAGGTGTATGAACATAAGTTCTGAGAGCAGGACTCTAGCTCGTCTGCTGACATTCCCCCCAGCCTAGCAAAGCGCCCAGCAGAAAGAAGGTGCTCAATGATAAATTCGCTGAAGAGAGGGAGGGTGGATGGGAGGAAGGAGGCAGACCAGAGAAGGGTGTCTTCGCTGCCTGCCCCAGACTCACAGGCCAAAGTCATTAAAAAGAACAATGCTGGGCCAGGCGGTGGCTCACACCTGTAATCCCAGCACTTCGGGAAGCCAAGGCAGGTGGATCAAAAGGCCAGGAGTTCGAGCCCAGCCTGGCCAATATGGTGACACCCGGTCTCTACTAAAAATACAAAAATTAGCCGGGTGTGGTGGCATGCGCCTGTAGTCCCAGCTACTCAGGAGGCTAAGGCAGGAGAATCACTCGAACTCGGGAGGTGGAGACTGCAGTGAGCTGAGATCGCACCATTGCACTACAGCCTAGGTGACAGAGCGAGACTCCGTTACCAAAAAAAGAAAAAAAGAACAATGCTGGAAGGTTAGAATCAGGCAGCCCTTGAGCCAAATCACAACAGGTCTCACCTGTTATGTTTGATTTGTGTGGTGGAATCTAAGCCAAATCTAAGCCAACACTTCTTTTTTTTTTTTTTTTTAGACAGAGTTTTACTCTGTCACCGAGGCTGGAGTGCAGTGGCACAATCTCAGCTCACTGCAACCTCTGCCACCCAAGTTCAAGCGACTCTCCTGCCTCAGCCTCCCAAGTAGCTGGGATTACAGGCATGTGCCACCGCGCCTGGCTAATTTCTGTATTTTTAGTAGAGACAGGGTTTCACCATATTGGTCAGGCTGGTCTTGAACTCCTGACCTCATGATCCACCCACCTTGGCCTCCCAAAGTGCTGGGATTACAGGCGTGAGCCACAGCGCCCAGACTAATTTTTTTTGTTTTGTTTTCTTTTGTTTTAGAGATGGGGTCTCGCTGTGTCACCTAGGCTGGAGTGCAGTGCCATAATCATGGCTCACTGCAGCCTCAACTTCCCAGGCACAAGTGATCCTCCCATCTCAGCCTCCCAAGTAGCTGGGACTACAGACACACACCACCATACCTGGCTAATTTTTTTTTTTTTTTTGTAGAGATGGGGGTTTTGCTATGTTGCCCAGGCAGATCTCGAACTCCTGGCCTCAAGCAATCAATCTGTCTCAGCTTCTTGAAGTGTTGAGATTATAGGCCTGAGCCACCACACCCAGCTAAGCCAGCACTTTAAAGCTATGAGGTTTCATAGAAGGTCTGGCAAAAGTCCCCTCTCACATTCACATACACCATCAACACTATGCTCGTCTGGCCCCTGTGAGCAGGCTGTGATCTCCAATTCACTGGCCCCACCTCGTCCCCTTGCCTCCCTCCTGGCCACTCCCCAATCTCTTTAGCCATCCCAGCTCTTCAGGCATGTGAGAACCTGGCAGGCACCAAGAGGCTGGGGGAACAGTGCATGCCCACAGGACTGTGGGTATGCCTTCTGGTTCCTAGAGCTCCCACAAAGATAAATGATGGAAATTTCAATAATATCTGGGGAGTACCCATACCACCAGTAGAACCCCAGGCTTGGAGACAAGAGGCCCCTGCTTTACCACAGACCAAAATCACAGGGGCTTCTGCCCTTCTGGCCACATCGAGAGCCCCCATGGGGAACTCCCGCAGCCACCCTCTTGGTGTGTCCCATACAATGGAGACTGGGAACCCTCCCAGTGGCAGGACTTGGGTCAGCCAGATTGGCCCTCTCACCACTGCTCATTACAATAACAATGATCATGATCATTAACCATTTTTTAGTCCTTCCTGAATGGCAGGCATTGCTCTATGCTCTAAGTAAATTATCCCCCATTTAAATGGTACAACCTCCCTAGGGGACAGGATCTAGTGAAATGATTCCCATTTTAGCTAACTCTCCCTGAGGTCTCGGAGAGAGGAAGTCACTCATCCAAAGTCAAACAGCCAGGAAGTGGCCAAGCTGGAGTCAAACCCAGACCCCACTGACTTCACAGCCTGAGCTTCTGATCACAAGGCAAACTACCTCCGGGTGAGAGCTAATGTACCACTCCCAGGCAGGGCTCCTAGCACTGGATGTCAAGGTCTGTGGGATTCTTGGTCCTCCACACCCTGCCCTCCTGGTCTCGGATTTCCATGAAGCATTGTTGGTTTCTTTAGTCCGCCTCTCAAAATGGCAAGTGTCCCACATCCCTGCACCCCTGCACTGTTGTCTACTAGTGTCTGGGTGGCTGGACTGATCACTTAGTTCATGGGTTGTGGGATGGTGAGTAGTTTTGCCTCCAGTGGGTCTTGCATAATCGAAGTATGAATGAGGAGTGGACTCTGGCTGAGTAACAGTGCTTCCACATGGGACAGTGGGAGGTGAATGTGTCTTATCTCCCACTGGGGGGCAGTGGGGTGGGGTGTGAATGCCTTTGTCTGCCACCGCAACAGTTTAATCATGTCAGGCGGAAGCATCTTTGGAATGGACTTTCTGGAAACAAGAGAGCATGCGCTGGGCAGTCCAAGGGGCGGACTGTCACGGGTACACACATGCCTGCCTAGGCCACACCCACCTTCAGGAATGATCTCTCCACCCCACAGCCTAGAAGAGGCCTAGATCTGACCTGCCACATTTGAACGGCATGCTCCTAGCCCTCCCTGGCCACATCCCACTACACCAAGGCTGGACATGTAGCTCGTGCACTAAGTCAGAGTTTCTCCTCGAGAATGTGAGCTAACCGACAAACACAGAGATGAACGTGGTCTCTGGAATTACAAGGCATCTATACTGGGAGTCAAGGCCACCATCTGAGGCCATGTGTGTTGACCATCAGGCCGAGAGAAAGCAGACAATGGAGAAGTGCAGAGAACAGCTGAGAAGATTATGGGTCATGTGGCCTGAGAGCGGCAGAGCATCAACACTTCCTACTCTCAGAGTCCATCAAATACCCCCACTTCCTTATAACAAAACCAGCTCGAGGGAGTGTCTCTTTCTTACAACCAAAAGTTCCATCGGTAGAGAGAGAAAGAGAGAGAGGAGGGAAACAGAAAAGGTTTGGGAGGTTGAAGACGAAAGTATTAAGAGTCGTGGATGTGAACCTATGAATTATATCAACAAAATTAACAATAAAAATTAAATTTAAAAATGTTTAAAGTCATGGAAAGGATGAGGAGACCATGATACCATGGACAAGAGTTGGAGAGGCAGAGGCTGGGGGCTGGGAAAGTGGAAACACACAGAAGCATGGCTGGAGGACACAGCAGGGACCCTCACAAGGCAACGAGGGAGGAAAGAGATGGTGGCACCAGAAGGAAGCAGGACTGTGGCTAAAGCCAGGGAGATGGAAGGAGGAGGGTGGAGGAGATGGTGGAAGAAAGGTCCCTGCCAGGGCAGAGAGGAGGGAGACTTGCCCGGGCCCTTGCCTGGCACGGTCCTGGCTGGGTACAGTACCTGCTGCAGGCTGCTGCTCCAGACACAGTGCTGCCAGCCCCCATCCGCTCCCTTAGAGTCCAGGCAGGAGGTGCAGTTGGGTAGGAGGTGACAAGGGGTGGGGCAGGGCAGTGGGGGTGATGATTCCACCGGCATGGGGGACACATTCAGCAGAGAGTGGCTGAAACAGGTCCAGTCATAGGTGGGCTGCACGGACAGGATGCGGCGGGTCTCCCCTGGGGGTGGGGCATGGGGATTAGAACCTCAGACCCAGGAGATCACAAGCTCAGCCCCTCCTCCCTCAGACCCAGGAGCTCAGGCCCAGCCCCTCCTCCCTCAGACCCAGGAATCAAGGCCCAGTCCCTCCTCCCTCAGACCCAGGAGTCCAGGCCCCCAGCCCCTCCTCCGTCAGACCCAGGAATCAAGGCCCAGTCCCTCCTACCTCAGACTTAGGAGTCCAGGCCCCCAGCCCCTCCTCCCTCAGACCCAGGAGTCCAGGCCCCAAGACTCCCCTCTCAGGAACTGGGCCCACTGCTCACCCGTCCTCTTGAACTGCCGTGTCCACATGCATTTGCCCTCCCTCGTGCACTGCTCGCAGTCGGCAGCCCCGCACGCAGCCTCGGAGCAGTTCCCTGCCCAGAAGACCTCTCGCTGGTTGATCCGACAGTCATTCTCAGAGGTGCAGGACCCATTGCGTCCAATGCAAGCACCCTCGGGGCAGTTGGTACACCACTTACAGCGGGGAGCGGATGCCTGGTGAGGGAAGACAGGCTGGATGGGGCCCTCAGCACCCCTCCTGAGCCAGCTGAGAGCTCGATGGTTCCTGAGACCCTGGGGTGGGTGGGACAGTTGACCAGAGTGGAGACCAGGACCACCGTGCCCTACACCTGCTGCTTCTCATCCCCATCTCCCCCACCACTCACCTCTCCATTTCCAGGTTGCAGGGTCCGAGGATGGCGGGCCAGGCACTCACTGCAGGTCCGGAGACGTCGACATTCCTCCGGGGAGCGAGGCATTGGGGAGCAGGGGGAGCCCCCACAGCCCAGTCTAAAGGGAATGAGGCCTGGCTCACTCACATCCATCCAGACCCCCTCCTTCTGCCTCCCAGACACTGTCCTGCAGGTCCCCAACCCTGCATCCCAAGCAGGACACAGCACAGGCCTCCTGGGCCTGGCTCTCCCTACCCCTACTTGGTAATAGATGGTCCCACATCCACCTGTCACCCAGACCGCAGATGCTGGAGCACACCACAGGTCCTCCCGCCCATGCAGCCACCGAAGACTTCTGCCTCCTGGATTTCTCTCTGACCATCCCCTCCTCCCCATTCCCGCAGCCCCTTGCCCAACCTGGTCCCCACCTGCAGCCTCTCGTTACTCTACCCCTCACAACAGCTCCAGGGATGTCACTGCCTAGGTCCATCCCTGCCCTGTCCTGCTCAGGCCTTCTTCCATGGCTCCCTGCCCTGCACAGTGGGGGTCCACAATCCCTTACCCCAAATCCCAAGAGGTACACACATTCCAGACTGTTCTGGATTTTAGAAGAGCAGTGGGTGTACCCACTGTTACACAACACCTCCAGTGGGGTCTGGGGGAAGGAGCACCCCGTAATCAAACCATTAACATTCTTGTAGTAACTGACAACACACCCATTGGGCGAATAAGGCTCACTATTAGCCTCACGTCAGTGAGGGTGACTGGCAGCCAAGTGAGTCTGTGCTAAGCTTAGGAAAGCACTTTCAGTGTCCAGGATGTCTGGATTCCCGGAACCGCAGCTGAGGAGTCTGCGGAGCTGGATGGAGCCAGTGCCTCTGCCAGGCACGGGAAGCCCTGTCTGAGCTGACCCCCTTCGGCTTCCAGTCTCAGCCTCACTTCTGAATCACTGATGGTCTCCACTCTACCATTCTTTTATGGCCCAGCTCAGACTCAGCTCCTCCAGCAAGTATTCTTGCATGAGACCCCAGTCCCAGGCAGGTGTCCCCACTCAGAGCTCCCCCGGCCACCCTGCCTGCGGTGATTCACCCCTTTCCTGAACCAGACAGTGTACTCCTGAGGCCTCTGTCCTGGTGTGGCCTAGCACAGGACCCCCTTCAGAGAGCTCCACTCCCCACTGCCTGCCATGGTCGCCATGGTTACCTGTGGGCCTGATCCCCGGACAAGCAGGCCCCATGGCACCAGGTGCAGGCCCCAGACTGGTTACAAGCTTCGGGTGAGGACAGCAGGCGGCAGGGGTCAGGGGGCAGGGTCAGTGCCAGCAGGCGGCCCAGGGCCACTCCCCCGAAACCCCCGGAGATGTACAGGCGGCCCCCGACTGCTGCCACAGCATGGGCCACAGACTCCTCCACTGGGGGTCCCACAGAGGCCGGGCCTAAGGAAAGATGGGGTATTCAGACAAAGAGACAGCAGGAGACTCCAGGAGGAGACCCACACCATGATGCCAGTCAGAGACGGATGCAGGGAGAGAGGAGAAACACAGGGTCAAAGGAGAGCAGAAACAAGGCCAAATGTGGTGACTCACACCTCTGATCCCAACACTTTGGGAGGCTGAGGCGGGAGGACTGCTTGAGCCCAGGAGTTCAAGACCAGCCTGGGCAACATAGAAAGACAATAAAAAATATAAACAATAAAAAATTAGTGGGGCATGGTGGTATGCACCTGTGGCCCCAGCTACTTGGAAGGCTAAAGTAGAAGGATCACTTGAGCCCAGGAGGTTGAGGCTGCAGTGCACTGCACTCCAGCCTGGGCAACAGAACAAGACCATGTCTCAAAAAAAAAAAAAGAGCAGAAACAGAGGAAACACATGAGGAGAGACAGCAAGCAAAAAAAAAAAAAAAGGGAGAGCCACTGCGCCAGGCCGCCGATGCTTCTTTTTTTTTTTTTTTTTGAGATGGAGTCTCACTCTGTCACCCAGGCTGGAGGGCAGTGGTGTGATCTCGGCTCACTGCAAGCTCCGCCTCCCGGGTTCACACCATTCTCCTGCCTCAGTCTCCTGAGTAGCTGGGACTACAGGTGACTGCCACCACGCTCGGCTAATTTTTTGGTATTTTTAGTAGAGACGGGGTTTTACCGTGTTAGCCAGGAAGGTCTCCATCTCCTGACCACGTGATCCACCCGCCTAGGCCTCCCAAAGTGCTGGGATTACAGGCATGAACCACTGTGCCTGGCCCCACCAATGCATTTTTAAGATGGTTAATTTTGACCGGGCACGTGGCTCATGCCTGTAATCCTAGCACTTTGGGAGGCCAAGGCAGGTGGATCATGAAGTCAGGAGATCAAGACTATCCTGGCCAACATGGTGAAACTCCGTCTCTACTAAAAACACAAACAATTAGCCGGGCGTGGAGGCGGCGCCCGCAGTCCCAGCTCCTCAGGAGGCTGAGGCAGGAGAATGGCGTGAACCCAGAAGGCGGAGCTTGCAGTGAGCCGAGATCGCACCACTGCCCTCCAGCCTGGGTGACAGAGCGAGACTCCATCTCAAAAAAAAAAAAAAAAGATGGTTAATTTTATGTTATGCGACTTTCACCTCAATTTTTTTAAATCCTCAAAAACAAAATTGAGAGAGAGAGACATGAAGTAGTGGAAAAGACAGATTAAGAGAAAAAGGGAATTAAATCCCAGCACTTTGGGAGGCTGGGGCAGGTAGACTGCTTGGGCCCAGGAGTTCAAGAACAGCCTGGGCAACACAGCAAAAATGTGTCTCTACAAAAAAAAAAAAAAAATTATTCAGGCCTGGTGGCATGCCTGTAGTCTCAGCTACTCGGGAGGCTGAGGAGGGAGGATTGCTTGCTTGAGCCTGGAAGGCAGATGCTACAGTGAGCCAACATAGCATCACTGCACTCCAGCCTGGGCAACAGAGTGAGACCCTGTCTCTAACAAAAACAGAAAAAGAGACAAAGAATCAGAGAGAGAAGCAAAAAGGAAAGAAGACAGACGCAGAAGCACACTCACAACAGTCACTCACAACATTGAAATAAAAAGGCAAGTGACAGGCACGCTTCTAACCTATGAACAGCAAAGACTGGCAGGAAACACCCCCATGTCTAATAGTGGTTGTCTCTAGAGAGGGAGATTATGGGTGTTTTTTTCCTTCCTATTTTACAAATTATATACAGTGAACATTGTTACTTTTACAGTCAGAATAAAAAATAAACTTCTCTAAGAAAAAAAAAAAAGGAAGGAGGGCATCTCCTGGTGTTTAGATAATATAGAAGGAAGGGAGCTCTACCAGTGGGTCTACAGGGGCCCAGTGACTCCTGAGGAGTGGGAGTCCCAGGACGGGTATGGGGCTCCTCCTCAATGTCCCTCAGCCTCCTGGGAGCCACAATGGGGACTTACGGGTGAGGTCGGGCAGAAGCCAGGCATTGCAGTTGACTTGGTAGAGCAGAATGTCGCTGCTGAACTCGTCAGGGTCCGAGCGCCCCCCAAGAACCACCATGGTGTCCCCTAACAGGGCTGAGGCATGGAAAAGCCGGGGACGGGGCTGTTGGGGAGACGGGGTGGGGGGGCGGGCAGGACAGCCTGTCAGAGCTGTCCTCTGCTCCCTCTCAGCCCTCCAGTCACCCCTGCACTTCTCTACCTGCCCCCGCAGCCCACCCAATCCTAACTCTCATCAAATCTCACCTCCTTCAGGTGAGGTGAGATTTCCTCCAGGAAACCTCCTGTGCCGGCAAGAGCAGCCCACAGAACCATCTCCTTCCTGAGTTCCCGGAACCCCCATGACCCAGGCTGCTCCCTAGGAACTTAGCCCAGACCCCTTGAGATGAGCCACCCACATTCCTCACACAATCTCCCTAGAGACAGTGGGGGCGTCCTGGGGGTGAGGCTCAAGTCTCTTGCTTCTAGCCCCTTGCCCCCAAGACGGGCTTGGAAACGTGAAGACTGAAACCACCAGCCTCTCTAACCAGTGCAGACAGGGCTCCCTGCCCTCCTACACACATTCTCCTTGGCCTTGAAGGCAGAAAGAGCAGGGAGCCTCGGTCCTGCTTTGTATGAGTGGAAAAACCCAGGACAGGGAAGGGGCCTGCCAGGGCCACACCAAGTCAGGACAGAGCTGGGCAGAGCTCATGCCTCTGACCTCCTGGCCTCAGGTTCTCTCCTCCAAATCAGGGATGGAAGCAGGGGAGATGTGGGGTTATCAGCTTAGTTAGGGAACACAGAAAGGAGGGGAAGCAGGAATCCGGGATGGAGCCAGTCCCTGGGGCGCTGGGAAAGAGGGCCCCTCCCTCCTGCCCCATATATCCATGGGTCTAGGCCTCTTTTCCTGACCTTTGCCCCCTGAGAAGGGGCCAGCAGGCTCCAGGTGCGGTCAGGACAGTGCAGGGAGTAGAGCTCGGGGGATGGGGCTGCCAGCTCCACATGGAATCGGAACCCCCCAAACACATAGAGGGAGTCGGTGGCCTCATGGTAGACGGCGGAGTGACCGTAGAGACCTGGTGAGGGGCAGGGTGACAGGCTGGGGGAGGGGCTGACAACACCACTGATCCCACTGACCTCTCGGTCCCCCTGTTCAGTGACCACTGAGGCTGGAGGCCTGGGAGCCTCTCTCCACCTGTCCCTCTCACTTGGGTTCGAACAGACAATCACTAGAGACTCTGGGAAAGAGAAGGGAGTCCTCAACTGGCAGGAAGTTCTACCAGGCTCTCGGGAGGGAGACAGGGCATCCAGAATGTCTAGGGGACAGCGATCAAAGAAAGGAAGTGAGATTGAGGAAGAAACCCTGAGGAGCAGGGAGCTCAGAGCCTGGGGGCGGGGGACGGTGGCCACATGTGGCCAGGAGTGGGCAGTTAATTATGGAGTCTGGGAAGGACAGACAGAGAACGTGAACATTCAAGAGGGGGTCCTGAGAATCTGCGTGGGGGCAGGAAAGAGAGGGAAACAGGTGGCCACAGAGCACAGGAGTGGACGGAGAGCCCACAGGAAGCCTAGATGCCCGGGAGGTCCATGGGAGCTGTCCCCTCCCGGTCCCCAGCCCCACCTGTGGGGGGTGTCCCGCTCTGGGCTCCTGACACCCAGGTGCCGGTCGCCAGCTGGTACTCAAGCAGCTGCTGGTTGAAGCCATTTTCCGGGGAATAACCGCCCACCAGGAGCAGAGATAGGCCTCGGCGGGCAGTAAGGGTGTGACCAGCAACAGCTGGCAGCTCCACGGTCTGGGGGGCCTGAGGGATGGAGGGCCAAGGTCACCGATGGGGCTAGAGGTCAGGGGTCACCTTGTGGGTAGAAGCGATCCTCAGCCCCCCAGAGTCCTCCCTGAAGTACTAAGGAAGGAGTGACCCCCCAGGGGCCAGTCAGACCAGCCTGGGTCCTGGCAGGTGCACAGTGGGCCCCTTGGCATTTCCACCTGCCCAAGCCTGGTGTGGCTTTGGGAAGTGTGGCTTTGGGAAACCCTTGCTCCCCTGGCCTCTCTCTGCTGCTGAGTGAAGCTGTGTCCCAGCCCAGGACTGGCTTGAGACAACAGTGTGCCCCAGGATGGCTGAGGAAATTCAAGTCCAGGGCTTCTGTTTCCTCTGGGGGTGAAGCTGGCAGGAGCTACCACAGCTGTCTCTGTCAGGGCCCAGCAGAAGGGCTGGGGAGTGGGCTGGGGAGAGTTGCTCACCTTCTCCTGCCGCCATTGCAGGGTGGTGAGGTTGAGGACCCAGAAATCACGGGTGACACCCCCAGCGGTGAGTCCCCCCAGCAGATACATGGCACCACGGCCAGCAGGCACATATGCAGCTGCATGGAAGGAGCGGGGCGATGGGCCTGGGCCCCCGTCCTCAGCTCCCGCCAGCATCTGTGTCCACCGCCGCTCACTCACTGAGTACCTGGGGCCAGGGTGCAAAAAAGCAGCCTCATTGTAATCATCTCAGCATCTTTCAAGGTGACCCTGCCTGACAGATGTCCCTGCATCCCGTGGGGTGACCTTCCTATGACAGTCCTCTCACCATTCCCTGGGGTAGCATCACCTAAATAAGTACTCTGGTCCCCAAGTGTCCCCGGGTGAGCCTCCTGTGACAACTGTCCCAGTATCCTTTGGGCTGTCCTTTACTTTAGAGGCTTTTCTGCACTCCTCTGAGGTGACTCTTAGCATCCAGAGGTGACCTTCTCTCATTCGCGAATCCCACCTGCCTAGGGCAGTCCTCACCTGTACAGGTTTCCCAGCAGCCCCTGGGGCAGGCCCAGGCCCCCAAACATCCACAAGGTGGCATCAGGTCCCTCCACCATGGTGTGGCCCAGGCGGTGCAGGAAGCGGCTGGCAGTGTCCTACGGGTGGGTGAGGACGTCAGGGATCAGGCTAGGGTCAGGACAAAGTGCCAGGCCTGGGTGTAGGGTGTAGGGGTGGTACCAGGAGTGGAGGTGGGAGAACGACCTGGGGGCAACCATCCCTAGACAGTGGGTACCCGCAACTCACGGCTGAGAGGCGGCTGTCCATGAGGGTCTCCCAGACCAGCTGCCCACCATCCAACTTGGTGGCGCAGTCAGGACCCCCGAAGCCTTCGGCACAGATGCACACACCCAGGCTCTGGGGGATGACAAGGGACTCAGGGGAGCCCTGATCACCAGCCCTGTCCCACCAGGCTTGACCTCTCCCACCTGTACCTGGTTACAAGTTCCTGCCCCAGTGTGGGCATTGCAGTTCTCAGGACACAGAGCCATCCGGCAGTGTGGGCCAGCCCAGCCTTGAGGACATCGGCAGAGCCCCGCACCTGCAGCACCGTCCTGGGGCACGCATTCCTGGGGGACTGGGCAGCTCCCAGGACCCCCTGACCCACAGCGGGCGGAGCCCACCGAAGCATTGAAGCCCCAGGATGAGGAGCCATTGGCCTCCCAGTGCAGCACCAGCAGCCCTGTGGGGAGAGAGGCCAGAGGCTGGTAGCAAAGCCACGCTCCTGGTCCCATCCAACCCCAGATGCTGAGAAAACCCAGTGTGACTGGGCGGGGAAGGAAGGCACCATATTATTCATAATCATCGCCAGGATGAACCAGTCTGCACCCCCTCCCTCGGCCAACCCATCAAGATTGATCTTCAAGCCTAAATCTCTCACCAACTGATAGCTACCTCCTGAGCTGCTATCCAAGCCCAAGTCCCGTCTCACCTGGACACTGGTACCCATCCCCTACTGGTCCTCCTGGCTGCCTACACTCCTCCCCACTCATGGTGGCCCAGTGATCCTCAAAACGTGAATTGGGCCCTGTCCTCAGCAAGCTCCAAACCTTCTACAACTCCTACTGCCCTTACATAAGACTGGATCTCTTTAGAAAAGATAGTGATTTGGGGGCAGGTGGGACAGGAATTACTTGATATGTTACGATATGTAAAATATGCCTCAATAAAGTTATATATATAGGCCGGGCATGGTGACTTATGCCTGTAATCCCAGCACTTTGGGAGGCCAAGGTGGGCGAATCACTTGAGGTCAGGAGTTCAAGACCAGACTGTCCAACATGGTGAAACCCCATCTCTACTAAAAATACAAAAAGTAGCCAGGCATGGTGGCATATGCCTGTAATCCCAGCTACTTGGGAGGCTGAGGCAGGAGAATCGCTGGAGCCCGGGAGGCAGAAGTTGCAGTGAGTTGAGATTGCGCTACTACACTCCAGTCTAGCTGGAAAGAGTGAGTGGTGTGGAGTCCTCACACCAGCCACATTCTATGTGCCCCAGAGACAAGTCTCATTCAGCCCTTCTCTCTGCAGACATAGCTCAGCCAACACAATCCTATTTTCCTCTCAACTAAGGACAATGAGGTCCAGAGATGGTGAGGGACTACATCACCCCACAAGCAGTGGCAGACCCAGGTCCTGCGCCCACTGCAGGTGATGAGTTCGGGGGCAAGGGATACATAGCCCAGGACTAAAAGGTCCCACTTCCCCAGCCCCCGTACCAGACAGGGCCTGAACAGTGAGGGGTCTGTCCCGTCGCTGGCCGCAGAAGGCAGCTATGAGGCTTCGGTCCGACTGGACAACACCAGTGTCCAGGAAGCGTGGGAATCCATCAAAGGCCAGGACGTAGCTCAGCTAGAGGGGTGCAGAATCGAGGATTAGGAGACAATGAGGATGAGAACGAGGGCACCTGGAGTCTGGGAGAAGGAGAGGTTCAAGAGGGGGAGGCAATCTGAGACTGGGAAATGGGCTGTTTGAACATCCAGGGGAGACTGTCAAACTATGGCAGGGAGGCAACCACTCCCCTTCCTGTGTCCAAAGTAGACATGGCTCATCTATCAGGCACCTCTTGCATTAAGCCTCTTTCTCCACATGCAGCTCCTGGCAGTCAGTACCAATCAATGAGAGTTGGTGCACAAGGTGTAACAATTTACCATTCCTGGTCTGGGAATGGGGAGATTGAGGATCTGGAGAACTGGAGATGGGAGCTGAGGAAATCGGAAGCTATCTGGGAAGTGGGAGGGTCTGTCTGTGGGCCTAGGAACAAAGCACTGGGGATCTAAGGAGGAGTTTGGGTTTTGAAGGATTAAAAAAACAAAAACAAACAAACAAAAAAGCAACACTGGGGTCAGGGTCTGGGGATGCAGACTGGGTCAGGGGACATGGTTCTGGCTCATGGGCCTGAACCCTTGTTTCCTCAGTGCTCACCGTGCAGGGGGTGCTGCTGTCAGGGAAGAAGGTGAGGGTGAGTGGGGGACAGAGGGTCCCGGGAGCACAGGGCTGTAGCTCCTCAGTGGCTGAGACAACCCACACACAATAGGACAGGCCAGGCCCGGCTCTTGCAGCCCCGCCACCTGGAGGCAGCAGCCCCCCGACCCGGCGTGAGCCCAGTGCCACTGAGGACACATTGGTGAGGAGGGCTCGACCTCCACACTCCCGGAAGCAGGAACCACCGGCCCTGGGGAGATGGAGGAGAGCCAGTGTCAGACCAGTCCTGCCCCTCCCCACTGTATCCCCAAGCACACCCTACCTAGCCCTGGCTGGCCCGCTGGCTCACCGGGGATCCCCATAATAGCCTGGGGAGCAGAGCTGGCAGTGGGCACCCTCGGTGTGGTCCTGGCAGAAGCAGAGCCCACTGAGGTTGTCACAGTGGCCACGGCGGGGGTCCCCGTGCCCATTGCACTGGCAGGGCCGGCAGCCCCTAGAGCCCGTGGCGTTGCCGAAGCTGCCGGGCCGGCATCGTTCGCAGTGCTCTCCCCATGTCCAGTCTGTGGAGGCCCCAGCAGGTGGGATAGAGTCAAGTCAAGGGTGGAAACAGGCCCAGGCCTACTGGGTCAGCTAAACCCTGACCCCACCCAGCTGCTTCAAAGGTGAGAAACCAAGGCCCAGATCAGGGTAAACAGCAAGTCCCAAGAGGGGGAAGTGAAGCCCAGCCAGAGTGATGGGTGGCACTGAAACCTGTTTGAGTCAGGAACAGGAATGGGGCAGGGGACCCAGAGCTGCATGAGGGGACACTGAGGCCTCCTCCAAGAAGAGCAAGCTGGAGCCCCAAGAAGGGAGGAGGCTCCCTGGGTCCAGGCGGGGCCAGGACGAGGGCTGCTCACCCTGGCACTCGTCGCAGAAGCCAGGGCCCCGCTTGCGGCAGTGGCTGTGGAAGCTGCAGCCACAATCCCGGGAGCAGCGGGGTGCTGGGGGACCCGGGGCGGGTGTGGGCAGGGGCAGGTCTGATGTCCAGCCCAGGTCGCACACGCAGGTGAAGTCCGGGGGGCCGCTGCACACACCATGGCCACAGTCCTCCAAGCACCTGAGGGGCCGTGTTGGGGGTGGGGAAAGCGCCAGGCAGGCCCAGAGCCCCTAAAGCACCTCATCACCTCCACCCACCTCATGACACCATCAAAGCCACTGGCTGTTTCCATGATTTTGCGCTACGTGGGTGACCCTGTCTCCAAGGTAACTCCATGCATCACCACGCCTGTCTCTATAGCAACCACATAGCACCACTGTGAAAACCTTTTTCAACTACGTCCTCTGCCTCCATGGCAACGCTGAAGACTATGGCCCACAGCCTATGGGTGCCCTGTTTCCATGGTAACCAGGGTTACACTGGGGACCCTGTCACTCTAACGAGGACCTAGTCTGCAAGGTAAACCCCTGGCTAACTAGGGATGCTGGTTCCACAGGAAGGGACCCAGTGCCATGATGGCTTCCTCCCTCCACCTCCATGTGCCCCAGCCTGGGGCGACATCTCCATAGCAACCCCCACCTCACTCACGTGCGGTTGCAGTGTGAGATGCCATCACCCTGGTAGCCCCGCTGGCAGTGACACTCGTAGCTGAGGGGCGTGTTCAGGCAGGTCGCCCGCGGATGGCACCGGGCCAGGCCCAGGCGACACTCATCCACGTCAGGACAGCGGGCATATGCCCAGCGGGCAGGGAGGGCCACGGGAAGCCCCAGGCCCTCCCCCACCCACAGGGAGCAGTTACCCCCACCGAGGGGCCCTGAGAAGTCCCCCTGTAGGCACCTGTGGGGTGAGAGAGTGAAGAAGCAGGGGACAACATAGAAACAAGAGCCATACGTAGAAACAATGACAGGGAGAGAGGAGGCCAATCGCAAGGAGAGGGATGAAAATATAGATTTGGAAAGAGGGACAGAGAAACCAGGAGAAGTCGAAGACAAAAACAATTTTGGAAGACAGAAGAGAGACATAGACGGAGATGCAGTGAAAAGGAGAGCAGAGAGACAGAAACAGACAAGGAGAAAGAAAACGAGTTGCAGAGATCCGGCAAAGGAGGAAAAATTGAGAAAAAAGAGCGGGAGGGTAAAATAAACAACAGAAAAACAATATGGAAAAGGGAAGGTGGCCATGGGATGGGGTCAGGGCAAGAGGGCAGAGAAGCAAAGAGGCTATTAGAATGACCAGTCATGGAGGAAGGACACAGCCGGGCACCCTGCCCACCTGCCCGCCTGGGCTCACCGTCCCAGTGTGGGGTTGTCCTCATTGCCACACCAGCCACACTCGTGGCTCTGCAGACACTCGTGGCAGGTCAGGAACCCATCGCAGCTCCGGCACCGTGGCTCCGAGTGCACACTGCAGGATGGCAGGGGTGGGGGTCAGAGCCCCGGCCCCTTGCCAGTGGGGATCTTCCTCTGTTAACCCTGCCCCAGGGACCGTACCTGTCATCCCAGCCTCGACAGCCCCCGTGTGGGTACCGGGCCAGGTAGGCGGCAAACAGGAAGCAGGTGTGGGTGGACTGGCACCAGGCGCACTGGCTCGAGTTGGCCAGGCAGTCCTCACAGGTCAGTCGCCTGGGGCGGGGAGCGGGTGGCAAGGTCACTCCACAGCCAGCCCACATCCGTGGGCACCACCCACCCACTCCCTGGACCCAGCCAGACTCACTGGTTGCAGAGTGGGGGACACTCTTCTGGACTCTTTATGGCACCCCGACCCCGGCCCCGCCGGCTGCATGCCGCGTCTCCTTTGCGGCTGGTGCTCTGATGCCACTCACAGAAGGGGTCCTGGGGGTCAGTTGGGCAGAGGAGTCAGAACCCCACTCAGCCATCTCCTTTGGGATCCCAGTGCCTATCGCACCCCCTGCCCCACTCTGCAGACTGTCCCTGCAAGGCCATCTCCCTCCCCAGCTGCCTGCATCTCTGGACCCCTCCCTTCAGCCACAGACACCCATAGATCTGCCTGCCCAGCACCGACTCTCTCTTTTGGGCAACAGCACCCCTTCTGTGTGGTCCGGGTGGGGCTGATTCAATCCTCAGGATCCAGAGGTGGGCAAGGGGCCACACTCCCTCCCCCCAACTCCAGTCATTGGCCCAGGAGCCTGCACAAGGCCCAACCAGAGCCACTGAAGTACAATCCTGGGACTTCTGTTGAGCTCCTGGATGGTGGTGGGGTGAGGGGAGAGAAACAGAAAGCCTCACTGTTTGAGACAGAGCAAGGACTGAGAGCCTGGAGCCTTAACTCACAAAGAAACAAACCCTCCCAGGGAGCAAGAGGAAGCAGGGCGTTGAGGGCTGCCTGACATCACTAGGAGCTGGCAGGCCTGAAGGCCTACTCCTGGGCTCCAGTGCCTGTGCTGAGAAACTCCCCGCTAGTGGAAAAGGATGGAGTTGCATTCTCTGGCCCCTGCAACAGGAAGAGTCCTGACTCCCAGGTGCCTCTCTCTCTAGCTCCATCTCACCCTCCCCACCAGGCTCTGCTGATCAACGACAAAAGCCCTTGCTATTTCCCCCACGCTCCCCACCAGGGGTTCCCTTGGCTGCCTGTTGCCTGCTCTGGCTGCCTCCACCTTGTGACCTCCCCTGGTGGTCCCACAGGCACCTGGGTGCAGGCATGGCAATCCCGATGCTCCTCGCAGAGTGGGCAGAGGGTAGGCACCAGCACCAGCAGGGACCCACCAGCCCTGTCATCCCCGCAATGGGCTCCACCCTGGCGCAGGTGGCAGCTGGCACTGGTCAGGCACCAGCCACAGCCCTGGTCTGCCAAGCAGCCCAGGCAGGAAGAATAGGAGGTGCAGGCCGACGAGCGGTAGGGCTCCAGGAAGAAGAAGGAGATCTCCTGGGGAAGGGGTCACAGGAGGGGCAGCAGTCAAGGTCTGGGGCAGGGGTCAGAGTCTGGGGCTAACTGAAAGTAAGGGTTTGGAACTCAGGTTGAGAACTCAGGCACATAGGAAGTCAGGATTTAGGAAATCAGTAGAGGTCCAGGGTCTGGAGGAATCTGGAGATTATTATAGGTCAAAGTATGGAGGGCAGAGGTCAGGGTCAGCAGGGTCAAGGGTGAGGAGTCAGAAGACAAGGGTCAAACTATGGGATCAGGTCAGGGTCTATGGGCAGAGGTCAGGGGCCACAGGGTTCAAGGGGAGGTTCAGAGTTCAGAGGCCAAGAGTTAAGTAGTCCGAGGCCAGAATCTAGGGATTTCAGAGTTTGCGGCCTGGCGTTCAGAAAGCCCAGGTGATCTGAGGCTGGGGCCTGTGGCTAGGGTTGGAGGTGGGTCCTGGGTACTCACACTGCCTCCTGGCACACCAGTCCGATCCCACAGCAGAGTGAGCTCGCTGTGCCCAGGGCCTGCCGAGCCATTCAGCTGGCCCCGGATCTCTACTGCATACTTGTGGTCCCGCCCGGGCAGGGGGAAGAGGCGAGCAGACCCAGGGCGCTGCAGCTGCCGCGTCTCCTTCTCCTGATGAGCCACCCAGCGCCCTACCTCCTCCTGGGGTAGGGGTGAGTGACAGGCAGGGGCCTCAGAACCCTTCTCATTCCTTCCTCAGACCCCTGATACCTCCAAACCCACCCTGCACCCCACCCCCTCCTAAGAAGAGGGCCTCAGAGCTCCTTAGATCCTGAGAACCTCTGAGGTGAGACCCCCAGGGACCCTCCTCCTCCTCAGGGGCTTTTTTTTTTTTTTGAGACAGGGTCTCATTCCGTCACCCAGGCTGAGTGCAGTGACACGATCATGGCTCGCTGCAGCCTCAACTTCCCACATTCAAGTGATCCTCCCACCTCAGCCTCCCAAATAGCTGGGACTACAGGTGCATGCCACCATGGCCAGCTAATTTTTGTATTTTTTGGATAGATGATGTCTCATCATGTTTCCCAGGCTGGTCCCAAACTCCTGGGTTCAGGCAATCCACCTGCCCCTACCTCCCAAAGGGCTGGGATTACAGGTGTACACCTCCGCGCCCGGCCTTCAGGGGCCTTTCAGGTCTGACTCAGACCTTCCTCACCTCCTTCAAAGTTTCCCTCAAATTCTGCTCACAATTGAAAACCTCAGCACCCTGCCTCCTCTACTGAAGATCCATCCCCAGCCGGGCGCAGTGGCTCACGCCTATAATCCCAGCACTTTGGGAGGCTGAGGCAGGCAGATCATCTGAGGTCAGGAGTTCCAAACCAGCCTGGCCAACATGGTGAAACCCCATCTCTACTTAAAATGCAAAAAAATTAGCCGGGCGTGATGGTGCATGTCTGTAATCCCAGCTACTCAGGAGGCTGAGGCAGGAGAATTGCTTGAACCTGGGAGGGGGAGGTAGCAGTAAGTCAAGATCGCGCCATTGCACTCCAGCCTGGACAACACAGTGAGACAGTCTCACACAAAAAAAATACTAATAATAATAATACTAAATACTAAATAATAAAAATACTAAAAAATAATAATAATCCATCTCCTGCCTCTGATTTCTCCCCAGTCCTCCCCCAGAACCTTCAAATCACCACAGATGCCCTGTACCACACCCCTAGCTCCCATATTTACCATAAACACCCCCCTGAATGTCCCAGGCAGCCTCACCATGTTCTCTGTGTCAGGGCCACGGGCCATCCGGGCCAGAACGTGTAGGCGCTGGGCCCGGGCCCACACAGCCACGTCCTCAGACCCTGGCCCACCCGGCCCTCCAGGCAGCATTGGGTAGATGAAGCCACGGTAGACCAGGGACACATCTGTTTCTGCGCTGGGTGTCAGGGTGATGGTCGTGCTGCGGACAATCGACACCTATGCAACCAGGGATGGGTGTATACGTGAGTCCCTTTCTGGACTGTCCCCAAGTCTCCACACCCCTGACGCCACATCAGAGCCAGAAAAGACTGGTCAACCTAACTTTCTTCCCCATTTTACCAAATGAGAGATTGAGGCCGAGGGACAGGGGTTAGGTGGCTTGTCAAAGGTCACTCTGGGAAAAGAGGCAAGACCTAAATTCAGACAATAGACAACAGGGTCCCAGAGCCCACCTTTACCCCTGGCCTCTCGCCATTTCCATCTCACATTAAAACTCCAGGACTGGACACTTCAGTGTCTTCTTATCCAACTCCTCACCTTTTCAGCTAAGCACTTCAAAGCCCAGATCTAATATTCAAAGTGACAAAGTGCAAGATTTATTTTCCTGGTGTGTGATTTTGTAATAGCAGAACAGTGGAACAGTCCAAGTGTTCACCAGTGGGAGGCTATTTAAATAAACTACAAATGTAAATGGAATGTCATACAACTGTTTAAAAAAAAAAAAGAATGAAAGCCAGGCACGGCCAGCACTTTGGGACGCCGAGGCGGGCAGATCACTTGAGGTCAGGAGTTCAAGACCAGCCTGACCAACATAGTGAAACCCTATCTCTACTAAATACAAAAAATTAGCCTGGAGTGGTAGCGTGCACCTGTAATCCCAGCTACTTGGGAGCCCGAGGCAGGAGAACCGCTCAAGCCCAGGAGGCAGAGGTTGCAGTGAGCCGAGATTGCCCCATTGCACTCCAGCCTGGGCAACAAGAGCAAAACTCCATCTCAAAACAAACAAAAAAAAATACAAAAACCAGCCAGGAATGGTGGCACATGCTTGTAATCCCAGCTGCTCGGGAGGCTGAGGTGGGAAGATCACTTAAACCCAGGAGGCAAGGTTGCAGTCAGCTGACATTGCTTGCCACTGCACTCGAGCCTGGGCGATAGAGAGAGACTCCATCTCAGCTTGCAGTGAGCCGAGATCTGGCCACTGCACTCCATCCTGGGCGACAGAGCTAGACTCCGTCTCAAAAAAAAAAAAAAAAAAAAAAAAGAACGAGAGTGTTTCTCAAGTTCTGTTAGAGGAAGCTTGCCAGGAAGAAAAAAAGGAAGCAGTCACGTGTAGTACTCATAATGTTACTTTCGTGTGAAAGAAAAATGATACGATGTCATGCTTCCTTGTATTTGAATAGGTAAATTCTGGAATGAGATCAAAGAAACCCAAATGGATCTTCCAGGGAGGTATGGTGGCCTTAAGTTGCAGCCAAGCTGGGGCTAGATAATTCTGGACCACTTAAGGGGTGGGGAGTTGGGTAAATGAGAGAGACTGTCCATTTAATGACTTTTTTTTTCTTTTTCTTTTTCTTTTTGAGACTCTGTTACCCAGGCTGGAGTGCAGTGGAGCGATCTCACTCACTGCAAGCTCCGCCTCCCGTGTTCATGCCATTCTCCTGCCTCAGCCTCCCGAGTAGCTAAGACTATAGGCACTCACCACCATGCCTGGCTAATTTTTTTGTATTTTTAGTAGAGACGGGGTTTCACTGTGTTAGCCAGGATGATCTTGATCTCCTGACCTTGTGATCCGCCTGCCTCGGCCTCCCAAAGTTCTGGCATTACCAGTGCGAGCCACCGCGCCCGGCCTTTTATTTATTTATTTTTAATTAAAATGGAGTCTCACTCTGATGCCCAGGCTGGAGTACAGTGGCATGATCTTGGGTCACTGCAACTTCTGCCTCCCAGGCTCGAGATTCTCCTCCCTCAGCCTCCCAAGTAGCTGGGACTACAGGCACGCATCACCACGTGTGGCTAATTTTTGTATTTTTAGTAGACACGGGGTTTCACAATGTTGGGCCGGCTGGTCTCCAACTCCTGACCTCAAGTAATCCCCCCGCCTTAGCCTCCCAAAGTGCTGCGATTACAGGCACCCAACATCACGCCCAGCTAATTTTTGTATTTTTAGTAGAGACGGGGTTTTGCCACGTTACCCAGGCTGGTCTCAAACTCCTGACCTCAAGAGATCTGCCCACCTCGGCCTCCCAAAGTGCTGGAATTACAGATGTGAGCCACCGTGTCCAGCCCCAATGACTTTTGATATCACTGTGATTTTTCAACCATGTGAATATATGAGCTATTTTAAAAATCAATAAAGAGGCCAGCCGTGGTGGCTCATGCCTGTAATCCCATCACTTTGAGAGGCTGAGGCGGGTGGATCAAGAGGTCAGGAGATCGAGACCATGCTGGCTAACATGGTGAAACCCCGTCTCTACTAAAAATACAAAAAATTAGCTGGGTTTGGTGGTAGGTGCCTGTAGTCCCAGCTACCCAGCAGGCTGAGGCAGGAGAATCACTTGAATCCGGGAGCTGGAGGGTGCAGTGAGCCGAGATCGTGCCACTGCACCTCCAGCCTGGGAGACAGAGAGAGACTCTGTCTCAAAAAAAAAAAAAAAAAATCAATAAAGAGCTACTGTGGAAAACAGTCTGGACATTCCTCAATAAGATGAATATGGAATTACCATATAACCTAGCAATTCTCCTAGGTATACAGCCACAAGCATTGAAAACATGTTCAAACAAAAATGTGTACACAAGTGTACACAATGTGTACAGCGACATTATTCACAATAGCCAAAAGATGGAAACAGTCCAAACGTCCATCAGCTGACACGAATGGATAAACAAAATGTGGTACAGCTACACAATGGAATATTACTCAATCATAAAAAGGAACAGAGTTCCTTTCCGAATGAAGTTATAAAATGAATGAGCCTTGAAAACACTATGCTGAGTGAAAGAAGACAGACACAAAAGGCCACACAGCATAGGCCTCCATGTACATGAAATGTCCAGAACTGGCAAATCCAGAGATGGAAAAGAGATAAGTGGCTGCCAGGGACTCGGGGGAGAGTGGAATAGAGAGTGACTACTTAGTGAGTCCAGGGTTGTCCTCTGGGGTGATGAAAATGTTCTGTAACAAGATAGTGGTGATGGTTGCACAATATTGTAAATGTGCTAAATGTCACTGATGAAAAATTTTATCTGTATTTTACCACAGTGCAAAAATTCTTTTTAAAATCTATAAAGAGGCCAGGCACAGTGGCTCACGCCTGTAATCCCAACACTTTGGGAGGCCAAGGCAGGCAGATCATTTAAGATCAAGAGCTCAAGACCAGCCTAACCAACATGGTGAAACTTCGTCTTCTACTAAAATACAAAAATTAGCTAGGCACAGTGACGGGCGTCTGTAACCTCGACTACTGAGGAGGCTGAAGCAGGAGAATCACTTGAACCCAGGAGGCAGAGGTTGCAGTGAGCCGAGACTGCACCACTGCACTTCAGCCTGGGCGACAGAGTGAGACTCCCTCTAAAAATAAAAATAAAAATAAAGAATAAAGTCCATAAGGAAAATCAGACCCTTGAATGTAAAGACTTTTGGAGTAAACACAAGAGTGATAAAGATGCATTTGAGAAAAAACAAACCCTAGGATCAGGATCATCATCAACACCCCACCGAAGGCCACACCTCCTACCCACCTTGTCAGGCTGGGAGGTGTTGGGTGGCTGCTGGAAGGTGAGCAGGTGTAGGCCAGGCAGGAAGCTCTGGGTGACACAGGCCTCCAGGGACGTGACGAAGACAGGCGCAGGCCCCCACCAGCCCACCGTGCCTGAGATCTGCTCCCCTCGGCAGCGGGCCTGCTCTGAGAGGACAGGGGGTGGGGGCTGGTGGGTCAGTGTGGAGTGCTTCGGCCCCTCCCCCCAGCCCACTGCTGTGGACACTCACCAGGCCGAGGGAGGCAGCTCTCATTGTGCACACACCAGCCCAGGGTGCCGGGTCCCCGCGGAGGGGCTGTGGGGCTACTGAAGGCCAGGCAGGCCTGGCAGTCACCCAGGAGGCGGCCCAGGCCCAGGCAGCTGGCGGCTGGACACTGCGAGGAGGAGAGGGGAAAGGGCTCACTGTCCACTGGAGCTCAAGAGATCTGGGAAGGAAGGGCTGTGGATACAGGGTCCTGCGATGGAAAGGGCCAAAAAACTGAAGAACAGGGAGTTGAAAGACGACTTGGAATGTGGGAGATTCAGAGGACGGGGGATGCGGGGATGGGGTCACGGGTTCAAAAGGGTCGGGCTGGGTGGGATAGGCAAAGATTCAGGCTCCGCGGTCTGGAATCAGGAAGGAGGATCTTCGGCATGAAAACAACTCTCCCAGTTGAGGGAAAGTCCTTGTCCAGCTGGTTAGGCAGAGGGAGACACTGAGGGCAGGTCTGTGCTAGGGAACAGAGGGTCTAGGGCAGTCACTTACAGCCCCCAAGGGGGTCCCAGGAGGGGGTGCAGCTTGGCAGGCTCCTTGGCACCAACTGCATTCCGGGTCCCGGGAGCACACGCTGTGATCTGTGTACATGGAGCAGTAGTCCAAGTGGTACTGCAGGGAGGCAAGGGGACGGAGGACAAGCCTCTCAGGCCTGGGCCGGCCTCCCAAGTCCCCGTTCGCTTTAGCTATCCCAGAGGACCCTGAGTGCTCAGCACGTCCATCCGTTCCTCCCCCAGGCCCAGGGACCTCTAGCTCCTCTTTCCTCTGCTCTGGGGATCTCCTTCCCTTCCCTCATGGCCCTAGGGATCCCCCCTCCTTCTCCCAGGGATCCCCTCCTACCTTTCCCCTCACCTGTGGAAACCCTGCTACCTCCTCCCCCAGCCACCCTTTCCCTGTCACCTCAGTGCTCACGTCAGGGGCAGGTGCCTGGAACACAAAGGGGGGCACCTTGTACGCCATCAAGTCCCCACGGGGCCGGCCGCTGTACCCCCCAGCCACCAACAGGACGCTGCCACCAAGCACCGCAGCCACATGTGAGTACCGACCACTGGGAGGCGCTGCTCGGCCTAAAGGAATAGAGACCCCAATGACATTATTAGACTCTCAGCCCCTCCACCACCTCCATGGCTCCCGATTCTCCTGGGCCACAGTCCAGCCTTCTATTCTGGTGGCTGCTTCAACCTCACCTACCCAAGGACACTCTCCCAGCCCACCTGGCCCTGACAAGCTGAGCTCCCTCACCCCTACCCAAATCATCTTTCTGATCTTTAGGGTCAGAAAGACTTGGGTTCAAATCCCGGGTCTACCACTTACTTGGGTTCAAATTGTGGATCAACTACCGACTAGCTGTGTGATCCTGGACAGGAGACTGAACTCTGAGTCTTGGTTTCCTCCTCTATAAAAAGAACCATCATCTCGTCCTCAAGGAGCTGGGAGGACGGAAGAATCTGCTGAGCCCCCAGCAGGCTGCCTCAGTCTCCTGTTTTTGTCTGTCTAGCACCAGCCTCTCTTCTGATAATAGCGCCTGATTTTCCTCTGGAAAACCAACCTTTCCCTCTCCCAGTCCATGAGACTTAGGTGGAGTTGTCCCTGGTTCTGGCAGAAGTGAGGCCTTAGCCCAGGCCCATCAGTCTCAGTGACTGGCTCGGGGAGGGGTACAGGGCCTGATTCTCTTTTTTTTTTTTTTTTTTTTTTTTTTGAGACGGAGTCTTGCTCTGTGCCCCAGGCTGGAGTGCAGTGGCGCGATCTCGACTCACTGCAAGCTCCGCCCCCCCGGGTTCACGCCATTCTCCTGCCTCAGCCTCCCGAGTAGCTGGGACTACAGGCACCCACCACCTCGCCCAGCTAATTTTCTTGTATTTTTTTTTTTTAGTAGAGACAGGGTTTCACCGTGTTAGCCAGGATGGTCTCGATCTCCTGACCTCGTGATCCGCCCGTCTCGGCCTCCCAAAGTGCTGGGATTACAGGCTTGAGCCACCGCGCCCGGCCGCCTGATTCTCAATTCTTGGGGCAAAGACACTCTCTTCTCTCTGGGCATTTTACAGCAGTAGGAGGTAATCCACGAGCTGCCTGTGACCATCTACACAAGGCAAGAGACTGAAGTGAACCCAGCTGAAAAATTGAGTGAGAAGTGGCCGATGCCATTTTGTGAGCACCTAGATCCAGCCCAGCCTGAAGATAGGCCCTATAGTTTTCACTCAAGTCAGCCGGGAAATTCTCCTTTTCGCTTAAGCCAGCTGGGTTGGGTTTCTGTCAGTTACAGCCAAGAATCCTGACTGACAGGTAAGTGGTCAGTGACTGGTGACTTCCCTACCCTCTTACCGACCTGCATGCACTGTAAACGTGTGGGACTTGGCCCGGGGAATCACAAACTGCGAAGCAGGAAGAGGCCTCCAGAAACATCACACTCCTGACTCCTGCCCAGTGAAGGGGACCAAGGGATAGGCAGACGAGACCTAGAATGAGGGCCTCAGACACCGGGTCTGGACTTTATTACTGATGGTCACACAGGGTTCCTCTAGGGCCTTTCCTCCTCCCCATTCCTTAAGTGGTAAGGTTCCTTCTTTACACCTGCCCTCTCCTCTCTTTCCTTTTCAGGGAGGAGGAGTGAACAGATGGGACTCTGGGAAGCCCACAAGTCCCCGAAGTGATACGCCCAACCTGTGGGTATAAGTATCTTCTGAAGAGAGGGCATGTGGCTTTCATCCGATTTCAAAGCAGTGTCTGATCTAATAAGAGTGAAACATTTCTCCATATCTCCTCCCTGGTGACTCCTCTGGCCCTGAGACAGGACCCTCACTGCTATAAGAAAGACAATATGGCTGAGCGTAGTAGCTCACATCTGTAATCCCAGCACTTTGGGAGGCTGGGTCTCACGAAGCTCGCTTGAGGCCAGGAGTTCAACACTAGCCTGGACAACATAGCAAGACCCTATCTCTAAAAGAAAAAAATAATAATTTTTTTTTTTTTTAATTAGCCAGGTGTGGTGGTGTGTACCTATAGTCACAGCTATTTGGGAGGCTGAGATGGAAGGATGATTTGAGCCTAGGAGCTTAAAACCAGCCTGGGCAACATAGTCAGGTCTAATGGCTACAAAAAAAAAAAATTTTTTTTTTTTTTTTTTTTTTTGTCGGGGGAGATGGAGTCTCCCTCTGTTACCCAGGCTGGAGTGCAATGGTGTGATCTCGGCTCACTGCAACCTCCGCCTCCCTGGTTCAAGTGATTCTCCTGCCTCAGCCTCCTGAGTAGCTGTGACCACTGGCATCCACCACCACGCCAGCTAATTTTTGTATTTTTAGTAGAGACGGGGTTTCACCATATTGACCAGGCTGGTCTCGAACTCCTGACCTCATGATCTGCTCGCCTTGGCCTCCCAAAGTGCTGGCACTATAGGAATGAGCTACTGCGCCCAGCCAAAATTTTTTTTTTTTTTTTGAGACGGAGTCCGGCTCTGTCGCCCAGGCTGGAGTGCAGTGGCGCGATCTCGGTTCACTGCAAGCTCCGCCTGCCGGGTTCACGCCATTCTCCTGCCTCAGCCTCCCACGTAGCTGGGACTACAGGTGCCCGCCACCATGCCGGGCTAATTTTTTTGTATTTTTAGTAGAGATGGGGTTTCACCATGTTAACCAGGATGGTCTCGATCTCCTGACCTCATGATCTGCCCGCCATGGCGTTCCAAAGTGCCGGGATTACAGGCGTGAGCCACCACGCCCGGCCTTAAGTGATAGTTTTATACAGATGGTTGTTTGGGGATAGCCATGCTGGCTCTGTCACTTATCTACCATGATCTTGAAAAAGTTGCTGCTAAAGAACTATCAACAGAGTAAGCAAACAACTATCAACAGAGTAATAAAACAACGTGAGAAAATATTTGGAAACTACGCATCCAACAAAAGTCTAATATCCAAAACCTATAAGGAACTTAAATAAACTAACAAGCAAAAAACAATCTGATTAAAAAGTAGACAAAGGACATGAACAGACATTTTTCAAAAGAAGACATACACATGGCCAATAAGCATATGAAAAAAATGCTCAATATCACTAATAATGAGAGAAATGCAAATCAAAACCACAGTGAGATACCATCTCACACCAGTCAGAATAGCTATTATCAAAAAGTCAAAAAATAACACATGCGGCTGGGCGCAGTGGCTCACACCTGTAATCCCAGCACTTTGGGAGGCCGAGGCAGGCGGATCACGAAGTCAGGAGATCGAGACCATCCTGGCTAACACAGTGAAACCCCGTCTCTACTAAAAATACAAAAACAAAATTAGCTGGGCGTGGTGGCAGGCGCCTGTAGTTCCAGCTACTCCGGAGGCTGAGGCAGGAGAATGGCGTGAACCCAGGAGGTGGAGCTTGCAGTGAGCCAGGATCGCGCCACTGCACTCCAGCCTGGGCAACAGGGCCAGACTCCGTCTCAAAATAAATAAATAAATAAATAAATAAAATAACACATGGGAGTGAGGTTGCAGAGAAAAGGGAAAGAATGCTTACTACTGCTGATGGGAATGTAAATTAGTTCAGGCATTGTGGAAAGCAGTTTGAAGATTTCTCAAATAACTTAAAACAGAATTACCATTTGACCCACCAATCCCATTACTGGGTATATACCCCAAGGAATACAAATTGTTCTAACATAAAGACACATGCATGTGCGTGTTCATCGCAGCACTGTTTACAATAGCAAAGACATGGAATCAACCTAAATGCCCATCAGTGATAGACTGGATAAAGAAAATGGAGGCCGGGCGCATTGGCTAACGCCTGCAATATCAGCAATTTGGGAGGCCAAGGTGGGTGGATCACCTGAGGTCAGAAGTTTGACACCAGCCTGGCCAACATGGTGAAACCCCATCTCTACTAAAAATACAAAAATTAGCCAGGTGTGGTGGTGGGCGCCTGTAATTCTATCTACTCGGGAGGCTGAGGTAGGAGAATCACTTGAACCTGGGAGGTGGAGGTTGCAGTGAGCTGAGATCATGCCATTGCACTCCAGCCTGGGTAACAAGAGTGAAACTCCATCTCAAAAAAATATATAGAAAGAAAAAAAAAAAAGAAAATGTGGTACATATACATCGTGGAATACTACGTGGCTATAAAAAATAATGAGATCATGTTCTTTCCATCAGCATGGATGGAGCTGGAGACCCTTATCCTAAGCAGACTAATACAGGAACAGAAAACCAAACACTGCATGTTCTCACAAGTGGGAGCCAAACATCGAGTGCACATGGACACAAAGAAGGGAACAACACTCTTGAGGGGCCTACCTGAGGGTTGGAGGAGGGAGAGGATCAAAAAACTACCTACTGGGGCTGGGCGCGGTGGCTCATGCCTGTAATCCCAGCACTCTGGAAGGCTGAGGCTGGCAGATCACCTGAGGTCAGGAGTTCAAGACCAGCCCGGCCAACACGGTGAAACCTCATCTCTACTAAAAATAAAAAAAAAAATTAGCTGGGTGTGGTATGCGCCTATACTCCCAGCTACTTAGGAGGCTGAGGCGGGAGGATCACTTGAACCCAGGAGGTGGAGGTTGCAGTGAGCTGAGATTGCGCCACTGCACTCCAGCTGGGTAACAGAGTAAGACTCCTTCTCAAAACAAACAAACAAACAAACAAACACAAGAAAAAACTAACTGTTGGGTACTAGGCTTAATACCTGGGTGATGAAATAATCAGTACACCAAATCCCCATGACACACAATTTACCTATATAAAAAACTTGCACAGGTACTGCTGAACCTAAATTGAAAGTTAAAAAAGCCGAGCACGGTGGCTCACACACGTAATCTCAGTACTTTGGGAGGCTAAGGTAGGCGGATCACTTGAGGTCTGGAGTTTGAGACCAGCCTGGCCAACATGATGAAACAATGTCTCTACTAAAAATACAAAAAAATTAGTCAGGCATGGAGATGCATGCCTATAATCCCAGCTACCTAGGAGGCTGAGACAGGAGAATCGCTTGAACCCAGGAGGTAGAGGTCGCAGTGAGCTGAGATCACGCTACTGCACTCTAGCCTGGGCGATGGAGCAAGACTCCATCTCAAAAAAAAAAAAAAGAAAAGAAAATGAAAAAGAAGGAAAAGTTGCTGTCTCTTAGGCATTTCCCTGGGGCAGCTGGAAACTGGCAAAACCTGGATTGGAACCCACATTGGATATTGCCATAAGGGCCTCCATCTCCATAGTGATGATGCCCTGGTCCCATCTCCATCCCAGGCTTGCCTCCTGAAGCTGGCACCAACTGACCTGGATGTCAGGCTCACCCTTACAGACTGAGGTAGCTTGAGTCCAGAATCACTGTGGAGGGAGGTGGGACCCTCGGGAGTCCCTAGGGAAGAACAGGGACCACTCACCCTCAGGGGTTCCTGGCGGGGCAAGCTCAGCTCCTGACACCCATTGATGGCAACCAAGGTGGTAGAAGAAGATGCCATCTTCGTAGCACTTTTCCTCCTGGTAATGAGTGTGCACATTGCCCCCTGGGAAAGAAGGAAAGGGGCATAGCTGGCAAGCCTGGTGGAGGTGGGGACTCCCATGCAGGGAGCCTCAGCTCAGGGTTGGCTCAGGCCTTCGGCAGGCAGGCAGGATTGGGGAGCCTCCTCACCATAGACCACCATGTAGTTGCCCAGAACACTGGCTGTGTGGAAGGCTCTCTCCCTTGGGCCCTGAAGCCCATCCCGCCCCTTCAGCGTCGTCCACACACGCCGATCCACATGGAAAAGCTCAGTGGAGTTCACTCGCACAGAGAACCTATCAAAGGAGAAGCAGGGCAGGGGCTTAGGGCAGGAAGCGTCCCTCTCCCTCCTTCAGGCTCTTAGGAGCCATGTGATCACCCAGGGATGAGACTGACCATGACTGCCTCTATGTCCCCTCCAAACTAGAAGTTCCCTGTGGGCAGGACTCTGAGTCATCTCTGGGTTACCCGCATAAGCTAGCAAGGGGTGGACACCAAGCAGGGCTCTGTTGAATGGATACATGGGTGGGAGTGTGTGGGAGGCAATTCACCAAGACATTGAATAAAACATCAGAGAATGCGTGAGTGGGTGAGTGAGTGAATGAGTGAATGAAGGAATAAGTAAATACACAAAGGAAGGAGTGACTGAAAGACCACAGGAGTCCAATAGTGGGCAAAGACCTCTAAAGACTAAAGGCCTATGGTGTTGACCTGGGCCTGGCCTGTGGGGCATGGGTTGTGGGACAGGTCACTTACCGGGCAGTGGAGGGCCGGTGTCCACCATGGACCAGCAGGGCACGGGACGGGGCATGGAACACCATGGAGTGGCCGGTGGCAGCAGGGGGCCGTCCACCTGCTGGAATCACCTGCTCCCAATAGCCCCCGCTGGTGCTGTCAAGGCGGAAACGGAAGAGGCCAGAGGAGAAGAGGTCGTGCTGGGTGCGGCCTCCAGACACATATAGCCAGACATCATCCACCAGGGCAGCCGCATGACCTGCCAGGCCTGGGGGCCCCGAGGAGCTGGAGGCAGGTGGTGCCAGGAGCTCCCAGTGGCCCCTGCCCAGTGGACTGAAGGCCCACACGTCGTTGATGAGCGAGCCGTCTGCCAGCTCACCACCCATCAGCACCAGGGAGCCGGCCCAGGCCACGGCCACATGGGAGTGACGGGCAGCCTGTGAGGAAGAGACAAGAAACAGAGGTAAAGACATAGCAAGGGAGCCAGAGCCAGGCTCAGACAGAGAGATGCAGAGCCAGAGAAACATAAAGAGAAGGCGAGATAAAGACAGAGACAAAGAGAAAGGTAGAGACCGGTAGAAAGAGAAAAGAAGAGACAGATTCATAGAAACAGAACCCAATAGGAGAGGGAAGAGGCAAGAAGACCGAGTTAGAGGGACAAATGGCAGACAGAAACAGACCCAGAGAAATGGAGACACAGAAACGGAGAACACAGAAGCCCAAAAGTCAGACAGATGAAAACAGAGACAGATCGAGCGACAGGAGACACGTGGAAAAATAAGATACACAAAGGCAGATAAAGGAAGAAAAAGAAGAAAAAAGAAAATCAGAGAGAAAAGGCAGAAACAGGGAGAAGTAGGTTCCTACATCAAGCTGCGGGAACTGGGGGAGCACTGGGTGATAGGGGGTCAGTCTGGGGGTCCCTAGCTGGGTCTGATTGAGTGTACAGGCTCCTCCAGGGCAGAGGAGGGGTCATACCGGGGCAGGACTCAGGTCCCAGGATTCCCAGGTGTTGGCGGAGAAGTTGTATAGGACGAGGTCACCCAGGGCATTGTTGAGGTCCTGGCCTGTGGAGGGGTGGACAGTCTCATGATGTGGCCACAGGCTTCCAGGCCTCCAGACCCCAGATACTCGCCCTATCTGCTCACCTCCAAAAACTGCCAGCAGCCCCGGTGGGGACAGGAAGGCGCCAGCTGCTCCAATACGGGCAGAGAAGGCAGGGTCCCCAGCACTCACGTTGTGCCACCAGCCAGCCCCCTGGTTCTCCCACAGGTGCAGGTCACAGGCATGTCCCAAGAAGCCAGGCTCACAGCGGCATGGTCCCAGGGGCTGTGGGGAAGGAGACATAAAGACAGAGATAAGAGACAGAGAGACAAGGACAGAGACAAAGGAGACACAAAGACAAAAAGAGGCAGAATGAGACAGGCACAAAGGGAGAGAGAAAGAGATAGATAGGAAGGGAGAGGATGGAAATGGAAAGAGAGAGAAAGAAAAGGAGACAGAGAGAGACAGGAAGAGGGGAAAGGCAAATTGTCAGACAGAAACAAGAGACAAAGAGACACAACCAGAAGGAAGCAGACAGATGGAAAAAAGACCAACAGAAAAAGGAAAAGACACACAGAGAAAAAGAAGAAAAGACAGGAAGAAGGCAGGCTGGAGAAGACAAACAGCATGGCTGACATTCAGCCTGAACTGAAAGAGCTCAGATCTGGGGAGGTCAAGGCGGGGAGGGCTCAAAGCGCAATCCAGATTGAAAGCTGGGTGTGCACAACTTCAGCGAAAGGTCAGCGGTGCGAGGCTGGAAGTCATGGCAGGGGGTCCAAGGCCACACAGAGTGGCTGGATGGGAGGACGGAGTTGGGCCTGGCTGGAGGAAGGAGGGTGGTGTTCACAGGTGAGAGTGGGGTACACTCAGCAGGGGAGGGCCTGCAGGTGAAGGTGGGGTGGGGTCGGAGGAACAGGTTGGGGGCAAGCTCTGGAAGGAGAGGGAAGTGGGTATCATGCAGCAGGGTGGGGTGGTGGGGGGAGTTTCATGCAGGAGCAAGGTCAGACCTAGGAGATAGGCGTGGAGAGTGTGCTCACAGATCAGGGCCCCAGGGGAAACAGGGCTGGGGACCAGCTCACCGAGGCGCAGGTGCCATGGCTGCCACAGTAGGCTGAGCACTCCTGCACGCCACAGTCAGGACCCCCCCAGCCCGGCTCACAGGCACACACACCCGGCGGCTGGCACTGCCCGTGGCTCCGGCAGCCACCCGGGCACAGGGAGAAGCGGAATGAGGCGTTAAAGCCCAGTAGGTTGTAGTTGGCATCACTGAAGAGGTGCAGCAGCATCTGCAAGCACAAGGTGGGCTGGGTAAGGTGGGCAGAGCCTGGGGATTGGCCTGGGAGGGTGGCCCACTCCTGTCCCCTTCTATCCTGGGGGACCCAGAGCCTCATCTCCTTCCTTTGCCTCTCTCCACCTTCCCTTGTCCCTGTGCTCTGCTCTTGAATGCCCTCTTACTGACTCTCTGTCCCTCCTTTCTTCTTCCATTTCCCTTGGTTTATCTACCCACAGCCCCATCCCCACTAACCTTGCCTGAGGAAGCTTCGATGGGCGGAGGCCGGGTGCTCCCACTCAGACTGGCAAGCAGCGGCCCTCGCGGGGAGTCACCGTCATACACAAACAGGTAGTCATACGTGCACTCTGTGTCCAGGAAAAGGAAGTCCAGCAGGATCCGGTGCTGGGGGCTTGGGGCTGGGAGGTGAGCACAGAGGGACTAAGCTCTAAAGCGGACCTTTTCCCTACACCTCCCTGCAGCCACTATTGTACACCAAACCCTGCTCCAGGTGATGCTGGGGGCTCAAGGATGAGTCAGACCTGGACCCCACCTTGGAGGGGCTCCCAGTCTCATAACCTAGGGCAGTCAAGGGCTGTGACAGCCGGAGGGACAGGTGCCCAGAGAAAGAATCACAATATTCCAGACCTCTAGAAAGGTCACCTGAGATCAGAATGAACATCCCCACCATTCAGATGGGAAAATAAAGTGCAGAGAGAAAACCCCATCCCAGTGGCCACACAGAGCAGAAGCCACAGTATTCCTGATGCCTCTCTCTTCCTGTCCATGCCTGAGCTTCAGACATGTCCAGGCTGGAGGGTCAAGGTCATAATCCCAGTGAGAAAAGCACCTCTGTGACAGTCCCCTGGCCCTCGCTGAACAGAGCTTCAAGAGAAGAGTCCAGTTTCTTCCCCCTGAAGAGAGGCCTAACCTTGGAGCAGCATAGTTCCCCTCTGTCCCCATCCAGAGTCTCACCTCTGTTTACTGTGATGGCTACAAGCACAAACTCTGGAACCAGACTGCCTGAGCTTATGTCTTGGCTCTGTCACTGAATAGCTACTAGCTGTGTGATCTTGGCCAAGTAACCCACCCTCTCTGGATTGGTCTCCTCATCTGTAAAGTGGGATATAGTGGTACTGTAGTGGATTCAAACTTATAGGCCACTCCTGCCACTGAAAGGTAATTCCCTGCCCCTTGTATCTGGGAAAAGCCTTAGTGACTTGCTTGACCAATTAAAAAACAGCAGAAATTCTGAAACTTTCAAGGCTAGATCATAAGAGGACTTGTACCTTTCACCTGGGCCTCGTAGAACACTCCTTCTCAGAACACAGCTGTCATGCTATGAAAAACCAAAGCTGGCCAGGCACGGTGGCTCACACCTGTAATCCCAACACTTTGGGAGGCCAAGGCAGGCAGATCACGAGGTCAGGAGTTTGAGACCAGCCTAGCCAACGTGGCAAAACCCCATCTGTACTAAAAATACAAAAATTTGCTGGGCGTTGTGGCAGGCGCCTGTAATCCCAGCTACTCAGGAGGCTGAGGCAGGATAACTCCTTGAACCCAGGAGGTGGAGGTTGCAGTGAGCTGAGATTGTGCCATTGTACTGTAGCCTAGGGGACAAGAGCAAGACTTCATCTCAAAAAAAGAAAAGGAAAGAAAAGCCAAAGCCACAAGAAAAGGCCACACACAGGCATTCCAGCTGACAGTCCCAACTGAGCTTCCAGCGGATAGCCAGCATCAACTGCCAGCCCTGGGAGGGACCTTCCTGGATGTCCAGCCAAGGTGAACATTCAGCTGACTGCAGCTCCAGCTGACATCTGACTGCAACCTCATGAGGAGCAATAATGCACATGAAATGGTGACAACGGAGTGGGGTGGGTGGCTCATGCCTGTAATCCCAGCACTTTGGGAGGCCAAGGAGGGTGGATCACTTGAGGTCAGGAGTTCGAGACCAGCCTGGCCAACATGGTGAAACCCCGTCTCTACTAAAAATACAAAAAATTAGCTGGATGTGGTGGCACATGCTTGTAACCCCAGCTACCTGGGAGGCTGAGGCACAAGAATTCTTGAACCTGGGAGACAGAGGTTACAGTGAGCTGAGATTGTACCATTGCACTCCAGCCTGAGCGATAAGAGTGCAACTCTGCTTCAAAACAAAAAAAGAAATGCTGACAACGAGGCCCACATATCGTCGTGGTGAGTGCCACTACCCCTAACACTGGCACTGTCTTATTCTCTGCCAGTCCTGTTTCTGGAAGCCCCTCTCATTCCACATCCCACATGAGAAGGCTCCTGAACAGGCAGCTCAGGGGAGTCCTCTGGGTGAGGGAAATTAGGAGGCCTAGGCTCTCGCTCTGGCTCTGGCTCTGCCCATGACCAGCTGGAGGACCCTGGGCCAGTTCTTTCCCCCATGACCCTGAGTGTGTCTATCTAGATCCTGGAGACACTCAGCCACCACTGCCAATGGCTGGGTGATCCTGGGCCAGTTCCATGGGCTCTCTGAGCCTCAGTTTCCATGACTGTAAAATGGAGATAATTCCCCCCACCCACAAAGGCTGGAGTGAACATTCAACGAGGTGATGACTCCAGCCTGCCAGCTTACAGCCATGGTGTGCCCTGGCTGCCTGGCCTCATCCTGTCTCACCAGAACCATTCACCCAGCCTCCTTCTTGCCCTGACATGAGTCTCTGATCTTCCCAACTCAACATCTGGCCCCATCCCTCCCCTGCCCCAAAGCCCTGCATGGCTCCCTAGCACCCTAGGAGAAAGTCCAGTTCCCTAGCCTGCTGTTCAGACCCTTCCTTTGTCTCAAATCACTCCACTGCTTACAGCTCTAATAGGAGCTGGGCCTTTGTACAAGCTTCTCCCTCTGTCTGCAACATATTATCTCTTCCCACCACCAGCCCTCTTCCTGATGCCCCCTAGCTGGGTTAGGTGCCCCTCTCCAGGGTTCCCACATCCCATTATAACCTTCATTCCTCTGGGCCAGGAACATCTATGTCCAGGTCTGTCTCCCTGCAGCCTACAAAGCCCATAGGGCAGGGCCTGGATGTGGGCCTAATTCCCTCTGCAGCATTGCCCAGACCTAGGCTTGGCAAAGGCTCAGGAAATGCTGGATGACGGAATGAAGAAATACACAAAAGAAAGAATACTAAAGCTGGAAGCTCTCCCTCAGGCTCTGACCAGAGCCCCCAAGAACATCAGACACAGACCCCACCCATGCTCTGGGGAACGCAGAAGAACCATTCAGCAGGGCCACACAACCAGACCTCCCAGAATCTTACCAGCCTCAACCACACTATAAAGCTCTGTTCCTGGAATCACAAGTACATCTTTGTTAAGTGCCTGCCAGAGGCCAGTTCACCATCTGCCTCCCCAAGTTCTTCCCTAAATTGAAGGTCTGTTTCTACCCAACCCCCATACCATTCCAGACAGAAATCTGATCTCAAACCCCTCCTGCTCAAAAGCAGGATGCCTCTTATTCATGAAGATGTTATAAGGACTAGGACTGGGCTAGGCGTGGTGGCTCACGTCTGTAATCCCAGGGCAGATCATTCGAGGCCAGGAGTTTGAGACCAGCCTGGCTGACATAGAGAAACCCCGTCTCTACTAAAAATACAAAAATTAGCCAGGCGTGGTGGTACATGTCTGTAATCCCAGCTACTCAGGAAACCAAGGTACAAGGATCACTTGAACCTGGGAAGCAGAAGCTTCAGTGAGCCAAGATCAAGCCACTGGGCTCCAGCCTGGGCAACAGAGCAAGATTATATCTCAGAAAAAAAAAAGTCTAGGACTAGGTAAAGTGTGAACATAATACAAAGTTAGTGGGTTGGTTGTTTATCTTTTTTTTTTCTTGAGACAGGGTCTCGCTCTGCTGCCCAGGCTGGAGTATAGCAGTGCAATCTCGGCTCACTGCGACCTCAGCCTCCTAGGCTCAAGGGATCTGCCCACCTCCGCCTCCCCAGTAGCTGGGACTATAGGCACATGCCACCACCCACCACGCCCAGCTAATCTTTTGCAATTTTTTTGTAGAGACAGTGTCTTACCATGTTGTCCAGGCTAGTCTCTAACTCCTGGGCTCCAAGTAATCCTTCCATCTCAGATTCCCAAAGTGCTAGGATTACAGGCGTGTACCACTGCACCTGGCCGGTTATTTTATAATAGATACAGGAAGATGTTGGTTCTCATAGGTAAGAAGTGACAGGCATTGGTAAGAACAGAAGATCATCAAGGGGGGTCTGGAGGTCTCCCAGACTCCTCCCTCACCCCAACATCTACCCAGTTGGTCCCCAAGCCTCATCAGTGAAACTCCACAAACATCTATTGCACTCTCTACACCTCTCCACCCCTCTAAGCCCCTGCCCTAGTTAGGAACTCATTCTCTCCTGCCAGATCAGCTCACCAAGTCTCCAGTCTGCCCCCTACCCAGCCTGAGGGCAATGCCCTACTCCTGCTCAAAACCTCCTGTGGCTCCCCAACGACCCCAAGGGGAAGGCCAGGCTGCTCAGTGTGACATTCAAGGCCCCCCTTCCCCTGCTTCTGGCTCTCATTACCTCCCAGTCAAAAGTGCCATCAGACCAGACAAACCTAGACAGGGATCCTGCGATACTCCAGCTACCCTCATGTCTTCATAGAGGATGTTTGTTCCCTTTTCCCACTCAATAAACTCCTACGCATGCTTCAGAACCCTGTTTCAGTGGCTCCTCCTCTGTGACCTCCAGCACAGTCCTCTTTCCTCCCTAGGTACATCCACCCAACCCCTCCACTTCCCTTCTCAGCCCTGAGCACTGTCTCAGTGAACACACTGGGGGCTGAATATCTGTGTCCAGCCCCACTATTCCCAAGCAGTCTGAGACTTTTTTTTTTAGGTGGCATCTCGCTCTGTCACCCAGGCTGGAGTGCAGTGGCGTGATCTCAGCTCACTGCAACCTCCGCCTCCCGGGTTCAAGCAATTCTCCTGCCTCAGCCTCCTGAGTAGCTGGAATCACAGATGTGCGCCACCATGCTGGGCTAATTTTTGTAGTTTTAGTAGAGGGGGGGTTTCTTCATGTTGGCCAGGCTGGTCTCTAACACCTGACGTCAGGTGATCCGCCCCGCCTTGGTCTCCCAAAGTGCTGGGATTACAGGCGTGAGCCATCACACCCGGCCTAGCCAGTCTGGGACTCTTTAAGGCCAGAGAGTGATTTATATCCAGCACACAGATCCCTTTGCCACACACACACACACACACACACACACACACACTTCCTATTCTGTTCTCATCCCACTAGCTTAACAGGAATGGCCCCCAAGCTGGGGACAGGTAAACATGCTAACACCGAGAAACATGCCTTCATCCATAGCCCACACAGCAGTCAGAGAGATCTTCTAAAACATAAATCAGATCATGTCCCCTCCCTGCTCAAAACCCTTCCATAGCTCCCCAGAGCCCCCAAAGACAAAGCTTCACAGCCTCCCAAGGGAGGCCCTGCATGATTCAGGCCCTGTCACACCTCCGGCCTTTGCCCAGAACCTTCCCTGTCTGGAGGCCAGTTTCTACATCCACTACTCTGTGAGGCCTTCCTGGGCTTCTGCAGGTACTGCCTTTCAACTTCTCTTCCACCCGTTTGCCCTCAGGATACAGCTCAAAATCACAAAGCCCTACACTTGCTGGCTCCTCCCACTCTGCAGCCTCTGGCTCATTTGTTGTCTTGTATTCCAGGTTTTTGCTTTTAAGATGGAGTCTCCCTCTGCCGCCCAGACTAGAGCTTTGCGGAGCAACATCAGCTCACTGCAACCTCCAGGTTCAAGCTATTCTTGTGCCTCAGCCTCCTGAGAAGCTGGGACTACAGGCATGCGCCATCACACCCAGCTAATTTTTGTATTTTTAGTAGAGACGGGGTTTCACCACGCTAACCAGGCTGGTCTGAAACTCCTGACTTCAGGTGGTCTGCTGGCCTTGGCCTCCCAAAGGGCTGGGATTACAGGCATGAGCCACCATGCTCTGCCAGTATTCTATGTTTTAACACACTGGATTTCTAGTTCTTCAGAAGCATCACTCTCCTGCTTCCCTACCTTTGCACGCCTATTCTTGCCTGGAATGCCGTTCTGCTCCCTCCTACAGATGCCTCTGATCTCAGCTATACCCCAGGTTAAGTCACAAGTCTTCACAGAGAAAGAGCCAGTGAGGCAGGGTTCTGAGGCATGCATAGGAGTTTATTGGGTGGAAAAGGAAAACAAACAGCCTTGAAGTGCATTTGTCTCTTCCACTGACTGGGAATCCAGAAGGGTAGGGCTGGGGCCTTTTCTCCCCTCCTGACAGATTCCTATTGGTCCTTTAGGTCTCAGCTTAGACATTTCCTCCTCCAGGAAGCCTCTCTGTTCTCCCCGGCCCCAGATCAGGCACTTTTTCTGGGCTTTCTCAGGCCTGTGGGATTCCTCCATCACAGACCACTCTTGGCTCTCACTATTAGTGTGTTTGTCTCCCCGACTAGACTCCAAGACCTAAGTCACCGGGGATTGCTGGAGCTGTCTCAGTCTGGGCTATGTCCAATGGGAAACATAATGTATGGCACATGAATTACAGAAGAAAAATGCTTTTATTGAAGTACTTTACAAATAACAACAATAATCCTAATGCCATTTATAGAACAGTTACTATATGCCACACATCAGGCACGTGAAATACCCGTTTTCATTTCATTGCAACAACTCTATGAGGTGAGTACTCTTGTTATCCCATTTGTGGGGGGAAGGAAACTGAATCTCAGAGAAAGAAAGTCACGTGCTCAAAATCACAAAACTAATAAGAAGAAGCCAGGCATAGTGGCTCACACCTACAATCCCAACACTTTAGGAGGCTGAGGTGTGAGGATCGTTTGAGCCCAGGAGTTCGGGACTAGTCTGGGCAACATGGTGAGACTCTGTCTCTACACACTCAGTTACTTGGGAGGCTGAGGTGGGAGGATCACTTGAGCCCAGGAGGTAGAGGCTGCAGTAAGTAAACTGTGTTGGTACCATTGCACTCCAGCCTGGGTGACAGAGTGAGACCCCCACCTCAAAAAAAAAAAAAGGAAGTAGTAGTAGAACCAAATTCAAAGCCAGATGATTGGATCCAGACCCTGAGTTCTTAACAGTTACTCAGAAGACCCGGCACTGATGCTCCTGTCTTGTAATTGTAAACCTGGGTGTAGGTGCATCTCCCCCAACAGACTGGGAGGCCTTCCAGGGCAGGGCCCAGGTTGGCTGCAACCCTGGCTGTCAAGCATTTTAGAGCAAAAGGCCTGGACCAGAACCGAGCTCTGGGAATGTGGTGAGTGGATGAATGCACACATGAATGAACTAGCAGCGAATTAGTGAGTGACCCACGCGGCCCCACTCACCCTCGATGAGCCACTCGCAGTTGCCATTGACGCTGTAGTTGCCAGCACCATCCGTCACGAAGCCTGGCGCCTCCCGCAACACCTGCCGCTGCCCCTTGCAGTCCCCCGCCTGGGCCCCAGGGGACAGCGACCCCAACACGGCCAAGGCCAAAGCCAGTGCCGTGGCCAGAGCCTTGCCCAGGGCCATCGCCGCCTCTTGTACTGACCCTTAGAGCGGGAACGGGCCGTAAAAACCTGGAGAGGACCCTCTACCTGGCGTGAGGCCCTGCAAATGCGACCTCTATAGGCATAACATGGCCTTGTAGACCGAGGAGGTCCTGGAGACGCAGTCCCGGCGAAGGGAACGGCCACTGCTGACAGGCTCTGGAAGCCGAGGGCTGGGCCCTATAGAGCGATGGAGGCCCTCTGTATATGGAGTCACTATGGACGGGGACGACCCCTAAGGACCTTGGGGGTCCCCTATAGACAGCGGCCCCCATAGGGGGCCAACCCCATAAACAGTGTCCAGCATTACAGACTCGGGCTGCTGCAGGCCAAACGGACCTTATATACGGGTGAGTCCCCAGGGGGCGAAAGGCTCTACGGCCCGGCAGAAGCCTCCATAGAGGCTGCGGGCCGGGACAGACCAGGATCCGATGGTCCAGGAGAGACTCCTCCAGCCGGGGGCGGGGCGCGAGCGGGTGCCGGGGGCGGAGTCCGTCTTCAGGGGCTCGGGCCTGGACCCCATTGACGCACTCCCCTTGCTCACCCACCCGCGCCTCCCTCCCAAGCCGGATGGGCCAAATCAGAGAGACGAGGGGACGCTTGGGCCAGAGCGGCCGCGGGAAGACCCGCTGTGGGAGGGCGAGGGGCCGAGAGCCGAGGAGCCGCAGTGGGAGGCACGGCGGAGAGGAGGCGAGAAGTTGCAGAACGGTCGGTCAGAGCGGCCCTGGGAGGACTGCGGAGCGCCCAACCCCAATCCTCCATAAAGGGAGACTTCCGGGGAAATTCCCCGCCCATTTATTCCCAACCGCATGCGCAGCAGCGTCCTCCTGGAGCGATGCTCCTGGAGACGAGAAAATTACACATGCGCAATGCTAAGATCGTAACCTGGGTGCCTGTGATTGAGCAAAGCACGGGCCACTGGAGGGCGCCTCTACCTCTGAGTGAGGAAAGGAAGGCAAAAATAAAGGAGTGGTGCAAGGCCCTGCTAGATGTTTGATCTTCTTCAACGTTCCCAGATTCTGGAGCAACATAAAGATCAGGTTATACAGGCCTCTGCCTCCGGTTCCAAATTCCCATTTCACAGATGAACACAATGAGGCCCCGAGCCTGACATAGTTCTGGCTCAGCCCCGCCGCTGAACACCATCAAGATGTACAAGAAGCCATGTTATAGATAAAAATGAATCTTTTTTATTTTGGCAAGAAGGGGGAAATGTCTTTCTGCCAGGGACCCGAGGGAAGGCCCCCGGAATGGAGATAGGGGCAGAGGGAGCACGGATCCGAGGTCACAGATCCGAGGGAGGGTTTCAGGGTCGAGACCAGCATCGCAATATCCATCCCGGGGTCGCAGAGTCCTGGAGAGTCACAGGCAGGGTCCCGGCGGTCACCACGGGTGTTCCGGAGTCCAGCGGGGTCAGAGGTCTCGAAGGGGGCCAGGGGGCCGGAGGTCACGGAACAGCGGGAGCCCAGAATCCGGCGCCGTTCGGGGCAGGGGCTAAGGGAGGGGACGGGGAGAGCGGCTCCCGCGGGATCGTTTGGCACAGAGGGGAGGGGGGCGGGACGCAGCGTACCCAACCTGGGCGCGCGGGGTAGGAAGGGTCGGGAAGGCCCGGGATGGCCGAGCTCTCGGGCCGGGATAAAGCAGGGGTCCGGAGCCCGGTCACGGCCCATGGGGCAGGGGCGGGCAGGGGTGCTCAGACCGGGGGCGCGGTGCCCCCGGCCGTGTGCATGCTGAAGTATTCGGTGAAGCCGGTGTGCGGCGCCGCCGTCTGGGGCACGAGCGGCTGGTAGGGCGGCGTCGGGCCGTCCCAGCCCGGGTCGGCCGCCTTGGGGAACCGAGCGGGAAGTGGGGGGGAGGCTGCGCCCGGCTCGGCCATGGTCACCACGCGGCCCCTCGGGGCCACCGCCGCCGCCACCGCCGTCTCCTCCACCTGCTTCCCGGCCTGGGAGGGGGGTCAGGGTCAGAGGCAGTCCCGGACCCTCACGGGGCAGATGCGGCCCCGAAGGCCCGTCCCCCTCCCCCGGAGAACCCTTCCACCCCAGGTGTGGACGCACATGTCAGTCAGGGAATGACTGGGTGGCGGGGCGCCTGGGCAGCGGGGCCAGGTACTCAAAAGGCGGCGTCGGGGCGCGCGGGGCGAACTCCGGCGGCGGCCGGGGAGCTGGGGGAGAGCCGCGGAAGGCGGGCGGTGGGGGCACGGCGCAGGGCGTCTGCAGGGGTGTGCGCAACAGCGCCAGTACCCAGTCAGGCAGGGTGGGTGCGGGCGCCAGGGGACGGTCGCGGCGCGGTGTTGGGGCGCGGGGTGTGCGAAAGGCAGGGGGAGGGCTCAGGCGCCCGGGCGCCGGGGGCGGCGGCGGGGCCGGGAGCGGGGTCAGGTACTCCAGGGGCGGCGCCAGCAGCTCCTCGGGCGCTGGGGCTGCGGGGCTTACGGAGGTGGTGGGCGGGGGGATGGAGAAGAGCTCCGTGAAGTTGGGCACCGAGTCGCTGATAAACGTCACGTTCCCATAGACGTGCTGCGGAAAGGCCTTGTCAGCGGATTGGTTCCCTCCGGGTCCAGGGACTCCAGCCGATGCGATCTGCGACGTGCGCACGTGGTACGGGAAGTTCTTGTTGGCCGCTGATGGGCGGGTCATGATCTGAGGCCAGGGCCAGGAGCAGGTGTGAGAGGCACTGTCAGGCCGGAGGCTGTCCCCATAAACTTGGGGTTCGAAGGATTCCCTTTCAGTTGACATCCCCCACACTTCCTGAAGCCATTCACACTGGATTAGGTGCCCCCTCTGGGCTCTCAAAGTGCCCTGGATCCTCACCTTTTCCCTTCAACACAACTCGACCTGTGCTTCCTCCATCAGAGCCCTGATCACTGAGCTATCACTGACTGGTTAGAGTCAGCGTCCTGCACTGTATGATAGCCACTGGCTGCATGTAGCTTAAATTTCATCAAAATAAATTTTAAATGTTGGTCAGTCACACTCCCCAATACACACTCACTATGCCCTACCCACATTCAAGTGCTCAACAGTCACATATGGTTAGTAGCTCCCATATTGGAAAGTGCAGATAATAGAATATCTTCATAAATACAGAAAGTTCAACTGGACAGCAACTAATAGACTCTAAAATGTCTCCATGAGGCAGGAACCAGACTCTTCTGTTCCCTACTGAGTCCCTAGTACCTTCTAGAACCATGCCGGCACATATAAGCCTTCAATAAATATTGGTGGGCCGGGCGCGGTGGCTCACGCCTGTAATCTCAGCACTTTGGGAGGCCGACCTGAGTGGCTCACCTGAGGTCAGGAGTTTCAGACCAGCATGGCCAACATGGTGAAACTCTGTCTCTACTAAAAATACAAAAATTAGCCAGGTGTGGTGGTGCACCTATGATCCCAGCTACTCTGGAGGCTGAGGCAGGAGAACCCTGCTTGAACCCAGGAGGTAGAGGTTGCAGTGAGCTCAGCTCATGCCACTGCACTCCAGCCTGGGTGACAGAGCAAGATTCCATCTCAAAAAATAAAATAAAATAAAATAAAATAGTAAAATAAAATAAAATAAAATAAATATTGGTGGAATGTAGGGATGTCTGGTACCAGTTAGTCTGATAGGCCGTGAGGGCAGGGACTGGTTGTGACTCCCTCGCCATATTCCAGAAGCCTAACACAGCTCCTCTAAGGCTGTGCTGTAAAAATGAACAAGGAGCTGAAAGCAATGAGCAGTGGGATACCCAGGTGGAGCTGTGCTGAGCTAACGTGAGCATCCTTAGGAAGGAAGCTGGCTGAGATACAGCAGGAAGGGCACTGCGCTTGCCGTTCTGAGCCTGCATCCTGCCTGTGGGATCTGTAGCTCACTGAGTGTGGGATCTGCGGCATGTTGATTAAACTCCCTGAGCCTCGCTGTGGGGAAAAGGGATTGTAGCGCCTACTTGGAAAGATGAAAGGGTGGAAATGAAAACCACTGGTGCAGAGCCCGGCACATGGTGGGTTCTCAGCGTTTCTTCTCTTTCTGTCCCTTTCTGACTTCCCGCAGAGCTTCAGCATGGACCGGCCTGGGAAGGTGAGCAAGTCTGTACCTAAGTCAGGCTCTGAGGCAAAGGATGGGGACCTGTCCCCTCCCTTAGTGGCTGGGCCCACTCCCTACACAGTGTATGTTGTAGATCCCTGGAGTCAGAAGCTGGGACACTTGGTCATGCCTGTTTCCCTTTCTGGTTCCCCTTCATTTCAGACCTTGTGGTCTGCTGGAGAAGGACAGAATTCAAAGTATTTGCCTGCCGCCAAAGGCCACGGAGCCCTAGCACGTCACTTCTCCTCTCTGGGCCTTAGCTTCCCTGCTCTGTGTAATGGGAACAACGTCAATTATCCACCCTCTCCTGGAGCTGCTCTGACAATTAAACAAGAGGGCAGGAATAAATGCATATGGATGTTCCTAGAATGAAACAGACTGGTTCAAGACAGGTGTCCAGTGAACAACTGATGAATAAATTAATGACTATTAGAACTGTCACCAAGAATGTCAGATAGGATGTGAACCCAGGTAAAGAACAGATGTGGTGGGGTCCGGGTGCAGTGGCTCATGCCTGTAATCCCAGCACTTTGGGAGGCTGAGGTGGATGGATCATGAGGTCAAGAGATAGAGACCATCCTGACCAACATGGTGAAATCCCATCTCTCCTAAAAATACAAAACTTAGCCAGGCACACGCCTGTAGTCCCAGCTACTCTGGAGGCTGAGGCAGGAGAATCACTTGAACCTGGGAGGCGGAGGTTGCAGTGAGCCAAGATTGTGCCACTGCATTCCAACCTGGTGACAGAGTGAGACTCCGTCTCAAAAAAAAAAAAAAAAAAGCTTCACCCTGTGCCACCCCAGCTGCTTCTTCCTGAACAATGGCCTGTGATGGCAGAATGTGGGCGGGGGCAGGGGGAGAGTGGAGAGATCAAGAATAGTGGGGAAGGCAGTGGGGATACAGAAGAGAAATGGAAGAATCTGGGGACACAGGGTCAGGAATGGAAATGGGAAGGGAGGGCAAAGAGAGAGTATGGGGGTTGAGGAAAGAAGCGAGGACACGGCCGGGCGCGGTGGCTCAAGCCTGTAATCCCAGCACTTTGGGAGGCCGAGACGGGCGGATCACGAGGTCAGGAGATCGAGACCAGCCTGACCAACATGGTGAAACTCCATCTCTACTAAAAATACAAAAAATTAGCCGCACACGATGGCGGGCACCTGTAATCCCAGCTATTTGGGAGGCTGAGGCAGAAGAATCACTTGAACTCGGGAGGCAGAGGTTGCAGGGAGCCAAGATCGAGCCATTGCACTTCAGCCTGGGAGACAGAGTGAGATTCTGTCTCAAAAAAAAAGAAGAAAATGGACTCTGAGGGGCACAGTAGAGGAGCCTGCAGGAAGCAAGCGGGCGCTCAATAAAGGAAGAATAACTAAAGGGAAAATGGATCAAGACCTCAGAACAGGAGGTCCAGCAGATCAGGTGTAGGAGCCTCACGCATCTTCTGCCCTCGGGTCCTCCCCTCCGCCCCCACGGATGCCCATCCTCACCAGGAACACGCCATGGGCGTACAAGTGGATCCCCAGCTGGATGCCATTGACAATCTTCTCCCGGGCCCACTTGGGGATGCCGAAATTGGCAATCAGGGCCATGACAGGAACCGCAAAGAACC